CAATGTCAGTAAAATAAAGTCATTTAAGGACTTTGTTTATCCCGACAGAGGTGGAGTGGGAATTTGCAAATTACCAGACATCCCCAGGGTGTACATATCCCGTGCGAATAGGCTTTTAGTTTGGTTTGGTCTTCATGCGGATAGAAATGTTAATTAACTGTGAAACATTCTAGAAAAAGCAATAACATCTCTACAAAGTACAGCATTTGACAGACCCTCCAGCGGAAAAGTTACACAATGCACCATTAAATAATGCTAAAAAACATTAACAATAGACATTTTAACAGCCCCCCCGTCTCAATGAAACATAAAAAACAAAACAGACTAAGTTCCGATGTGAAACACTTGGAAACCATTGACTCTGTGCAGCTTTTCTGGTCCAAACAGTCCACCAGGCATAGCATAGCATTTTACAGTAGAGATTTCAAAATAAAATACACAAATAATACATGTATTTACACACATACATGTTACAGTCCTATACAATCACACACTAAACGTAAATACCTGGACAGTGCATCATGTCGCCACCAAAAAATAAAACCAAGTGTCATTATAATCACCCTAGAGTCACATGTAAAGGGGCTTCAAGAATGACATTTTTAAACGTACTTTGAACTGCAATCTCGATAATAGTAGTACAGTTGGAATGGGCAATATACAATGTAAAAATATAGCAACTTTCATTAGTATAATCATCTTAATTTGAACAGTATTGACAAGTTCAGATATAAAAGTCCCATATTACACTATTTTCTGACTTATATTCTAATGTAGTTTCCTCATCACAAACAGAACTGGAGTTGTTTTGTTTTTCATGTTTAACACACAAACTCTGCAGATTTTATTTAGGCTCTGTTCTTCTCTCAAACAGAAAACACTCTGTTCCACCTAGTGAAGTCATGTGGTAATAAAAGAAGCGTTTTTAAACTCCAAACACCTTCACGAGAATCATTTGGATCATTTCAGCTCTGGAATTGTCGATCCCTACTGAGCAAAAGTTTAAAGAGGAGCTGTTAACATGAAAACTACCACTTCATGACACAAGGTGGAAGAAAGCATTTTGAGCTTTGGAGACATAGACAGACTAATAATAGAGTTACTCAAACATGTGAATGAAACAAAACACAACTCCAGGTCTGTTTTTGAGGAGGGAACAAAATGAAAACATGGATTAAAACAAAATTTTGTATAATACAGAACTTTTAAGTAATTATGTACTTTACATTTCTATCACTGTTGTGCGTAAAAAAAAAAAAAAATTCTAGCTCGTAAGAAACTAAATGTTCCAATGAGGTACAGTCAGTGGCATTTCCAACACCACTGAGCTAGTTAAACGGAGAAGGAAAAAAAACAAAAACATTAAAAACAGCGAAAGACAAAACTTAAATTTGTCAAAACTTCTGTAATTAAGATCAATATTCTAATTTGATGACATTCTTTTTTGCAGTGTTGTAGCACCTTTTATCAGTGCCCATATTACGTATTTGTCCAGAGTTTATGTACAAACGGGCTCTATTCACGCTTACGTCACAAAACTGGAAGATAACGTTTGGGAACATGACGACTTCCTTTGGGCTCTGTTGGCGATAGTAAAAATCTGAAAACTGAGAAAATGGCCTGGTTTACTTCATCTAGATATTTGGTCTAACTTAATAAAAAGAAAAAGATGTCATTGTAGCATTCCGTTATGTTCGTCACATCAACAGTTACAACCAGCTGCCTGGAAGAGTCCCGTCTCCCGTGGAAAGCTTTGGCAGGTTGTGAAGACGCTGCTGCTGAATGCACGGTTTTATCACATGCCCAGCGTCGGGAACTCCACCGGAAGTCGTCATCCGCATGTTTCCAAACGTTCTCCTATAAGCGTGAATAGAGCCAACTGTCTTAAAATAAAACACATCACCAAAACCGGACAGTCTATTTCTTGGTATTGAAACTGCCATTCACAAAACCCAAAGTTTGACTATTCAATTCAACTGAGAAGGAATTTTAAAAAAAATAAACAAGCCAAAGATATGCATTTCAGGTACAGTTGCGATCCAGGTAGGATAAAAAAAAAAAAACTATTATAATTTGTCTAAAAATGCTGCGTTGTTTTTAATGGGAAAAAAGATTAGATGCACTTTTTTCCTTCCTACAACTCCTGCCTTTTTCAGATTAAAACTAACGCAAAGATCTGTATCTACACTGAGAAGAACACAATCAATATGTCAAAATTATAACGTTTTAAGCTTTTGTCCAATTATTACTAAGATTTTCAGACACTTTCCTCACCTCCCAAGCGAACAAAGAAATATGAGACAGTAACAACGTAAAAGGAGCTCAACAGTGACTGCTCACTCCGGTTCTTAAATACATTTTTCATTCATTCATTTTTTTTTCCGTTGACATTTCGAAAAATTGTAACATTAAGAGTTCTGCGACAGAGGCTAACCAGGTATGTGCTGACTAATATTCATAATGTGGTTCTTTTAACTCCAAAAAGCACATTTAAAACAAAAGATTCAGCAAAATATTTATATTTTCGCAGTTTATAAAGCTTCTGATCTGTTATAATGTTGTTTCCTCATCACAAACAGACCTGGATTCGTGTTTTGTTTCACATTTAACACACAAACCTTGCAGATTTAGGCTGGGTTCTCCTCATAGAAAACACATAAATACAAGAAGTGCTCCACTGTGTTTTTAAACTCCATACATCTAGAAAATGTTGGATGATTGCAGCCCTGGAATTGCCAATCTCTACGAATCAAAAGGTAAAATGTAGCTGTTAATTTGAAAACTACCGCTTTATGACATCACAAGGTGGAAGAGAGTATTTCGATCTTTGGAGATGTAGACTTATTAATACGTGAATGAAACTAAACACAAGTCCAGGTCTGCGTTTGAGGAGGTAACAACATTATAACATGACGTAAATCTCACAAGAGTCAATTCTTTAAACAAAATTATAGGTCTTGTGGTCATTGGTTAACACATAGTTTTAAAACTTTTAATAAACATTTTTTTCAGGAAGTCTATGAGAAAAATGAATGAAACCTTTTGCTCTAGAATTGGAGGATGTGTGGTCACTGTTGAGCTCCAGAAACACAAGTTAAAATGTTGAGTTCAGCGCCGCGAGCTGGTGAGGCTTCAGTGGTTTTCACATTTGCGTTTTTTTTCCTTCAGAGTAGGTCCACTCCGTTGGCAGGTTTTTGGACCCACTCTTCATTCAAACGCAGCACCACACGAGCCCCCCGCGACGCAAAACGCCACGAAAAAAAAAAAAAAAAAAAAAAAGAGAAATAAAACCCAAACCGAATCAGCGTGAAGACACAACACCTCAAGAAGTCAGGAGAGCCGCAGGTCAGAGCTCAGGCGGTGTAAAATGCGGGGTCAAAAAGTTTACCATCGTTCCCCATTGTTTGCTTGATTATTTAGAAAGGCTTGCAGTGGAACTTTTCTGGAGTTGTGTTCACCACCTGTTTGTTCTTGCTATTGCTTTTTCTTTAAATGTTCTAAAGAATGGCATTAAACAAAAGTATCTTGCATTTATTCTACTGCAAGTGTTTCTATTGTGAAACCTGTGAGCTGCTTGTTCCTCCACAGACCTGATTTGTACCTTGGCCTGGTGGCATAATCTGCTCATCTCCTAGCTGCTGTACTGTGGAACATTTAAGGCAAAGTAGCAGCATCTCCCTGGAAACAAGCAGGTGGCAAACTCTGCAGCAGAAAAGTGACACATTGCAGCGTTTAAGTTTTAAATTAAAATGCCCCAAACCCCATTATCAAATACATTAAACACACAGAACTATTAACATATTCACTTTGATTTCACTCATATTATAAAAAGACTATGTTGAGGCATTCCTGTTAATAATATTAATTCAAATGAAATGGCATTTCCCCCAAGGCTTATAATACATTCATAACACTATGTGAGTGCACGGTGTCTCTGCACGAAGCAGACTCTGAATGTGTGGATGAGTATGTGCGAGTGTGTGTAAGAGTGAACAGAACTGTGTGAACGCTGAGGGCAGAGACGACACACGGCAGCACTTTAGAATTACTACTTTAATTATCCTCCATAAAGCACCAACAGTATATGACACTATGATCTCTGTTCTAATGTCGTTTCCTCATCACAAACTGACCTGGAGTTGTGTTTTGTTTCATTCACACATGTTTAACACACAAACCCTGCACATTTAGGCTGAGTTTGTTTCTCAATCAGAAAACACTCTGTTCCACTTTATGATGTCGCGTGGTAACAGGAAGTGCTCCAGGCTCTTATAAATTCATTGTTGTGAATAATTAAAGGGACAGTTTGGAATTTTGGACATAGGGCCTCATTTCCTAGTGAGCCAGAGTGTTGGAGACGTGTGAAGACACTTTTTGAAATAATCCATCCAGTCCTTGTATTTGCAGAGGTCACTGGTGTTAGGCTAGTGCAAGTCAATGGCCACTGTTGGCCTGTCACTAAAAACAGTCTTATCCACTTCACAAAACACCCGAAACAAATCTATTATTACACCAGACTGTCCATGTGAATGTCTGTGTCGATAGAATAATTTTAGAAGTAAAACCAACGTTGCATTTGAAGGGTTTATGTCTGAGCAGCAGCAGTGAGTTGTACTTCCTGATAGAAAGCTCGGCAGTGGCGGACTGATATCATCTCGCACCAGCTGGCTCTGTAATAGTTTGTTTACCTGCAGTTGCCATAGCGACACATAGAGCACAGGAAGAAGCCTGTTCCAGATATGGCCACGTTCACATCATCACAATGAACTAGAGCAGAGTAAACTCCGCCGCTGCTGAGAAAATAGTCCCTCAACGTGCGAAGATTCAGGCGATACAAGGTTAGTTTTACTTCTAAAATGATTCTATCAACACAGACATTCACGTGTACAGTCTGGTGTAATAATAGATTTGTTTTGGGTGTTTTGTGGAGTGGGTAAGACTGTTTTTAGTGGCAGGCTAACTATGGCCATTGACTTGCGCTAGCCTAGCATCAATAACCTTTGCAAAGAAAAGGACTGGATGGAATATTTCAAAAAGTATCTCCACACGTCTACAGTACTCTGGCTCACTAGGAAATGAGGCCTATGTCCAAAATTCTGAACTATCCCTTTAAGACTCTCTGAATGCATAAGGTAAGTGATCTTCATAAACCGATATTTGTTTATTATGAATTAAGTCTTTGTTCATGCTTTATTAAGGATCATGTCAGTATAATTATTAATATGTGTTACCTAATATACTGTAACTTCACTCATCTAATATTCTTTATCTGTTAGTATATATTTACAAAAAGGCAGCAGCAGCCATTCTGGACTACAGTACAATGTAAGACTCAGGGCACTGTGGTTTAAAAGATGTAGCTTTAACTTCTGCAGGGTTTTCAGGGCTCGTTCACGGCAACTGAGGTAGATTATTATGAAACTAAACCTGCACATTGGAAGTCGTTATCCAGACAGATTATTTCAGCTCTTAAACATGTTCTACTCAAGGCAGTGCATCTGTGGTAGTTTTATTTTAAGTTTTAACACATGTAAAGTTAAGGTGTTATTTAGATTATTTTTTACTCAAGAAAACATGGAAGTCTATAGCCTTTTTGTACATGGGTGACCACCTAACCCTCTTGTCTCACTTATTCACAGATGCTACATGAAATCTAAAAAGTGAGATTTAAATATATGATCATATTTTTGTCCTCCCAAAGTATGCAAAACTTTTTGGGAGTATTTAATATGTAAAATGCAACCAATGACTGTATAAAGAAATGGACAAATGGAGTGTGACATCAACTATATCATTCGGTTCCAGTCAAATGAAACTCACCAGGCCTGCAGTTATAGGAGCAAATTTGTAGAACGGTTTATATTAGGAATAGGAATTTATTTACAGACAAAACTGTGAAAAATGAAAACATCAGGATCATGTAGAGCGGGTTAATATGATTATTTTAAGACCAAAATGACAAGGCTCACAGCAGCAGTTACAAAGAAAGGTGAGAGTTTTTCAATGTAAAGTCAATTGGAGCCGATGGAGCCGGAAGCGCCCCCATGTTCACTTCTTACTTGAAACATGGGAGCTAGTGAGTTAGCTAGGTCCATTTATATATACAGTCTATAGTTACAACATCTACTAGGGTTAAGGTACACTTCATTTATTGTAGGAACATTTGTGCATTTGCTCCATCTTGTCAAGAACAGTGGTCACGCTAAGTTACTTATCTCCAGATCTTTATAGGTTTGGTCAGGCCCCACTGTGGCTCTCTCGGTTAGGTTGGCTACAGGTCTTTCAATCTCTCTGTGTGTTATGATTAAAACAAACTCTATGATGATCTTAAATTTCCCAAGTCTGTCCCTCTGTTCTACGCTCTGAGGTGGTCACCCTAACTTGTACTGAGGTCATTTGAACACAATGAACTTCTATTTAACGGAGCTGCAGTAGAAATGACTCAAAAACCCCAGTTCTCAGCTGCAATAGCGTTCCCACAGCTCTGTTTGAGTAGTGTGTGTGTGCGTATGTAGCGTTTGTGTGCGTGTGTGTGTGTGTGTGTGCGTGTGTGTGCGTGTGTGTGTGTGTGCGTGCGTGTCATGGCTTGTCCGGGCTCCTTGTCCTCTCGACTGAAGCACATTTCCTTAGGAAACAGAATGCACCTCTTTGGCTGAACCGAGCTGCCAATCACCAGAGACGGAAGCCGGAGCCCCTAGTCCCGCCCACCGCCAGGTCCATGTACTTTATATAAAGTGTGTATATGTGATGTCATATATGTGTGTGTGTTTGCGTGTGTGTGTGTGTGTGTGCGTGGGGACAGTGGATAAGGGCCATGGTCCAGTCCACTCGTAGTTTCCTCATGGATGGAGGGAGGGGATGCGGTTTCCGTGGTGATGAGAGTGAAGTGTCGGTAAACCCAGGAGGGAGGGGCTTAGACCTCTGCTCCTTTCAAGCCGATTCGCTCCTCCTCCTGTCAGTCACTGCTCGGCTTTTTGAGCGAGAAAGCAAAGATGTTGAAATGACCGCTCAACTGCTGAACCTGGAGAACAAACAAAACAAGGCTTGGTAAATGAAAGACTAAACAAGATCCAAATGACATTAGTAATAATGTTAATACATTATTACTTTTACATTATTTTACATTTTCACTTCACAAATAAAGACATTTTTGTGAATAAAGGCATTTCCCTCATGCTGACTGAACTGACATTAGTGTCCTGGACAGTTTATCCAGGTCTGTGATGTAATGCCATTTTGCTTTATTGTACCCGTCTCTAACTGCCCCCTGAGCATTATTGAATTGAGTCTTTGGCATTTTGTGTTATTGATTTATGTCCTCAAATAATTTCATTAATGTTTGTCAGTGCAGTCCCTCAGTCGTCCAGGAAGAGTCCACAGCAAAAGAAATGTAATTCTGTCAACTGTCAAACAGGGGTGTGCAAAAATATTGAAATATCAATATATCATATTGTTTAATTTGTTGGTACAGAATCAATATCGTAGGCTGCTGTATCGATATCAGTAAATGTATTTTTTAGTTGGTTTTACCATATTGTGCTGTGACAGTGCTACTATTTAGTTTAACTTGTTTATGTAATACATTTGTCATAGCCTCTGTTCTAATGACTGAAATGGATGTGTTTCACATCGAGGTAGTGACTTAACAAAGACTTTTACAGCCGTGATTTTTTAGCTTTTATTTTTTACTGAACCGTATCAAATTGTTTTGAAATATATGATATTGAATTGTATCAAATCAAAAGCTCAATGTACCGAGACACGTATTGTATCTTGGCCTATATTTTATGTCATATCAGCAATTTCTTAATGAAACCGAGCCTTAGTCTGAATGCAGTCATGCCACAGAGTATAATCACAAAGTTCTGTCCACATATTTGTGCAGTAATTTAACAAACTCCTGTCAGAACTGAAGAAGCTACTGTACATGGATGAGTGGCAAAACACATTTTTCACTTTTAAACCATTTTATGCAGCTGACAAAAATCGGTTTCCTTTTTGCATTCAATAAAATTGGTTACATCCCTATTAACAAACACATATAACACATTCTTGTGTTCTTACCACAGAGACTCCGTAGTGTATGTGCGCCAGGATGACGGCGGTGGTCCATAGAAACAGGAGCAGGGTCTCGTTGGGGAAGACTCCGGTCACAGCCACCACCACCACGGTCACCATGGGCAACAGCAGCCAGTTCAGAGGCTGGCACCGCGTGTTACTCATCTGACACACAATCAGCTTACACTACAAACACACACACACACAAGCACAGAGAGACAGGCTGAAGAGGGCATGGACAACAACAGAGAATCACCTAAACTACACCATTTTAATAACATCTAAAGGGACATCTCATTTAAAGATGCATTGTGTAACTTGCTTTTCTTCATGGAGATTAGTTATTGATGGTTATTGCTTTGTCTGCAATGTTTCACAGTATGACTTTAAACCTTTCTATCTTCATGGAGACCAAACCAGACTAAGTTACAGGTCCAATCTGTGGAGAGGCAACCCTGCTCACAGTCAGAATGCCCAAGCAACGACAGATTCATAAAAACAAGCAGGTGGCAGACCTTCCACCAGAAAAGTTACACAGTGTACCTTTAAGCATAGAGCTAGATAGCTAGATTCAAAAATTATGTTGGGATTAATTAAATTAAATTCCTTGAGTGCCACTGGAAGTAAGCAAGCAATGAAATCATTTAAAGGGCCAATATCACACTATTTTCTGATATGAGTTATAATGTACTTCATTCACACATGTTTAACACACAAACCCTGCATATTTAAAATAAGTTTTTCTTGCAAACAGAAAACACTTGTCATACAGTAGTACAGGAAGTGCTCCACTTTTAAAATCAAATCACCTTCACTAGAATCGTTTGGATGGTTTTAGCTCATGAATTGCCTCTCTCTGAAGAACTAAAGATAAAAGGAGCTGTTATACTGAAAACTACCACTGCATGACATCACAAAGTGGAACAGAGCATTTTGAGCTTTGGAGATGTTGACAGACTAATGATAAAGAGTTACTCAAACATGCATGAATGAAATAAAACATATGTCCAGGTCTGTTTTTGTTGTAGTAACAGCATTCTAACATGTTTTAAAGCTCACAAGAGCCAAATCTTCGTTATACAAAACCTTATTCTAGGTTGGTCATTTATTACTTTATTATTCATAATCATTGCATTTATATTGCGCCTTTCAAGATACCCAAAGTGCTTTACAGATAATTCTTCTTTCACTCCATACCCAGTGGTGGTAAACTACTATTGTAGCCACAGCTGCCCTGGAGCAGACTGACGGAAGCAAGGCTGCCAGTCTATGCCATCGGCCCCTCTGACCACCACCGCCACTCACATACTCCCACACACACCACTTTCATACTAGACAATGTGGGTGAAGTATTAGTGAAGAGGTCTCTCATCTAAGTTCTGACCAGGCCCGACCCTGCTGAGCTTCTGAGATCTGACAGGATCAGACTTTGACAAACCGTATGACCACACTTGGTGACACTTTAAATCAGCTCATAGTAAAAACATTGGCATACTCACTGTGAGGTTGGCGAAGGCTGTGCCCACCATGAGGTAGAAGATCCTGGGCTGGAGGTTCAGGATGTCGGATGGAGAGAACAGCACCCAGATGGTGGAGAGGAAGAAGAGGAGGACAGGGGAGAGGAAGGGCAGCAGGGCCTCATACAGACTGCTGTGTTTAAGCGTGTTGTTTCTGTAAGCTCTGAGAAAAAAACACAAATAATCACTGCATGAACTTAGCCATGGTATGAAGCAGCTCTTATAGACTTACTTGAGGATATTATAGAGGCTCATGGGCAATGTCACAGTGAAAGAGCAAGCTGCAAACGACAAGAGAGCAGGTCAGAACTTGAATTTTCTGAAATGATTAAAGATGCACGGTCTAACTTTCCTAGTGGAGGGTCCATCACCTGCTTGTTTCTGTGGAGATGTCTTTCCTCTGCCTGGAATGTTCCACAGTATGACATTAAACAGTTCTACCTAACTTTTTTGTTTGTTTTTTTTCACCTAGAAAAATGGCCATTCTGACTGTGAGCGGGGTCGCCTCTCCACAGAGCTGACCTGTAACTTGGTCTGGTTTGGTCTCCATGAAGATAGAAAGGTTTAAAGTCATACTGTGAAATATTCCAGACAAACGATGGTATCTCCATAGAGACAAAAAAAACATATGATGGACCCTGTACCAGAAAAGTTACACAATGCACCATTAATACAGCAGACTATGCCGCCTTACAAAAGAAAAGTGCAGGAACTGTGTATTTTGTGAAAACTGAGTTAAGACCAAAAACACCTTCATAAGACCTGTTTTATTTGGTGACAAAGTTTTTGGCTCAACTCTATCTCCCTTCTGAGAAATCATTCTAATCAAAGCATTAACATCTCCATGGATACAATCAGGCGATGTGCCCTTCACTAGTAAAGTTACATAATGCACCTTCAAACCAAATGTACTGCCTCAGTTGGTACCAAATCCCTGTATCATTTTATTTTCTGATCTGTTATAATGTTGTTTCCTCATCACAAACAGACCTGGACTTGTGTTTTGTTTCATTCACACATTCCTGCATATTTAGGCTATGTTCTCTGTTCCACCTTGTGAAGTCTTGTGGTAATACAGTAAGTGCTCCACTGTGTTTTTAAACTTCATACACCTTCACTAGAATCATTTGGATCATTTCAGCCCTTGAATTGCTACTGAAATGGTAGATGATGAAGTTAAAAGGCAGTTGTTAATTTCAACCACTTCATGACATCACAAGGTGGAACAGAGCATTTTGAGCTTTGGAGGTGCAGACACATTGATAATAAAGTGTTACTCAAACATGTGAATGAAACAAAACACAAGTCCAGGTCTGTTTTTGAGGAGGTAACAACATTATAAACATGACTTAAAGTGCACAAGAGTCCATTTTGGAGACTGCATTACCATATTTTCCGCACTATTAGACGTGCTCTTAAGCCTCCAACCCCATCAAAAACGACCGCGCACCCCACAATCCAGAGCGCCCGATACACGAATCCACTCGGGTGTCCCAGCACGACTTCAGTAAACTACAAAGCCGCCCACACACGGAGTAGACAGCGACCGCACAGCGAAAAACACCCAGACACACTCATCACTCCACGCCGACGAGGAACGGAACGGAGGAACAAACTGAAAAAGCGAGTGCAATGTGCCACTTCTAGACACAAGTGAACAACTGAGTCACTGCGAACACGCCGACAATCCAGCGGTCCCAGACAGCACCCTCCCTACACGCCACAACTGAACAAAGCCCAGAGTCACCGTGAACACCACAAACAAACAAAACCACTCACCCATCACACTGTTGTGTTTCCTTTAAAGTCCAGTGCGGCTTATTTCGTGTTTATTTGCGGAAAATACAGTACCTTTAACATTTTGTAGTTTTCAATATGTAACTAATGCTTTATTTAGTTTGTGAACAATATAGATTAATAACGCTGTACCAAATTTAGCACTGGAGTAAACACATTATTTAAAACACATTATACATCACACAAAAAGGCTCATGTGTGAACCCAGCCTTCGTTGGACAGATACAGACACAGTGTGAGAGACAGAAGTTCATGTACCGATGATCATGAAGGTGAACAGGTCTCTGTACAGGAAGTGAAACAGCATGGGCTGGTACCACGTTTCCACGCCGACCACCGCAGTCACCAGGTACACCAGCGAGATCGTCTACAGGACACAACACACACAAGGCTGTCATCAGAACTTTGGGATTTCATGACTGGCTTTAAGAAAATCTAAATATACTGAAACCAAGCAGAGTGAATATGACGGTCTGGGCTGTTTTGGGATCGGGCAGCTGAAGAAAGGAAATATGGGATTGTTTGTAATCACTGTAAAGCACTTTCTGTTAGATTTTTTATATGAAAAGCGCTTTATAAATAATATTTGATTGAGGGGGACAATGGATAATCTGGGACAATGTTTCAGCAAATGAACTTGTTATTTTATGAGTTGTGACAGACCTCAGTATCATTGTTAAACTTTTGACAATACGACATCACAATGTTGAAGTTATTTTACCATCTGTACTCACCACTAGGCTCATGTCGTAGCCCCAGGGCAGAAACAGGATCCCGGTGTTGTACTTCTCCCAATGGGACAGAATGAAGGAGAACAGCACCACCCAGAGGATGTAGTACAGAGTGACCACGCCCACTCCGCTCTCGCCACGCCCAAATATGGAGTAGACCGTCGCTACGAAGAACACGCAGGTCCAGCTGTCCAGGCCGTGGTCGAACAGCTCCCCCAGTGGCGTGGAGGAGTTGGTTCGTCGAGCTTGTTTTCCATCCACACCGTCTGAATTAAACAGAAAGAAACAGGATAAGTTCACAAGACATCACAACATTTTATCATCTCTGTATTTTAAAACTGAGCTTAAGGACAGGTCAGAATTCAGTGGAAAAAATAGCTGTTGTTGACCTGGTTTACGGTTAATATTTCTGTCATAAACATAGACTGTATGTATAAATGGACATTCAATTGATTTTACATTCTCATCCCTCGCTCTGTGAGACTCGTCATTTTGGTTTTAAAATGTTCGTATTCACCCCCCCTACATAGTCCCAGTGTTTTGATTTCACTATTTTGTCTTTACATAAATTCCGATTCCTGATATGGAACTCGGCCCCGAATTCGCCCTTGTAACTGCTAGCCTCTTGAGCTTCATTTGACTGGAGCCAAACGCTGTGGGTGACATCACACTCCCTTAGTCCACTGCTTTATACAGTCTATGGGCTAAACAGAGGCTGAACCAGGACTAAGCCTAGACTAAACCAGGACTGAACCAGGACTTAGTCAAAGTAAACCAGAACTAAACCAGGACTAAACCAGGACTAAACCAGGACTAAAACCAGGACTAAAAAAGGACTAAAAAAGGACTCAGTCAAAGTAAACCAGGACTCAACCAGGACTCAACCAGGACTCAACCAGGACTCAACCAGGACTCAACCAGGACTCAACCAGGACTCAACCAGGACTCAACCAGGACTCAGCCACAGTAAAACAGGACTAACACTAGCCATTATCTTCATTTCATCCTGAGCAGTTGTGCCCTCTCGCTCTCACATTCTGAGGATAGTTGGAGCAGACAGATCCGCATTCCTTCCTCCCACTATTGAATTTACTACAGCCACAAAGAAATGTCCTTTATTCACGTGAATTCCTTCAACACATCCTGATGAACCCTCATGGAGTGTACACAGACAGCTGTATGCACCGCTTCAGGCCTCTCATGATATTTACTAGATTTTCTTTGCATTTGGGGGGATATTTTCTTATTTTTTCAAGAGTTGATTAAATAATTGATTATAGACAAACTACAAACTTACAAACTAATACTTAAAGGTGTGCTGTGTCTTTCATCTTTTCTGCTTCTATGGATCAGCCATTGCTCTGCCTGAAATGTTCCACAGTACGATATTAAACAGCTCTATCCTACATCACCACTCCACAGATCTGACCTGTACCTTGGCCAGGTCCGGTCTCCATGAAGATAGAAAGGTTGAATACCATACTGTGAAATATTCCAGACAAATTAATAACATCTCCATGGAGAAAAGCAGATTGTAAATCCTGTACCAGAAAATTTACACAGTGCATCTTTTAGTGTTATTCTGCAATTTATCCATTGCATTTCATGTTCTTTTAAAAATATTGCACCTTTAGAATTGTTTTTTGGGGGATAATCTATTAGTCTCAATAATATATTTTATATTTTATTTAGGAGTATCTTGTACTTCAGAATGTGTTACTGTGACGAGCCTATACAGCTTAGTTTAAAAGTTAAACTAAGCTGTTGCCAGAGGCTTAATCCAGTGATTTAAATACCAAATGACTAATGAATGACAAATGACAAATGACTAACTGCTTTGCCCACAATGTTCCACAGTATGTCATTAAACCTATATGTAGCATTTACTAAATTGCAGGTGTTTCCAAAGTGCAAAAATACCTAAAAATTGTGGAATGTTTAGTCCAATGATGTTCATTTGGTCTTCCCATAATTTATGTTAAGAGATTCTTTAGTCAAACCAAGAGTTTGTTTTCATACCTGACAGTTTCAACTGTGAAATGTTTAGTTGAGTCTAAAGACTCAAAAAAGACTTATGACTAATGTTATTTATGTGGGACTTGTTTAACAGCACAGATCAGCTCATCTGCTGTAGTTCTAGTTCAGTCAGTTCTTTATGGTCAAATTGTGTTAAAATAAACCCTCAGACAGAGCAGAGCCTACAGCCTACAGACAGCAAATGTCCAGTGAATACTGATGACATCAGCTACAAAGTACAAATGTATTCTAGGCCGGGGTGGCCAAAGTTTTTCTCTCGGAGAGCCAAGATCAATGTGCATTAGAGTCGAGGGCCAAACCAAATGACAACTTACACAGAAAAATGTTCTGCAAAGAAATGTAGGATTAATTTGACTTGAAATATAACAGGCCTCCTTCCCATTGATCTTCTGTCTTTTCAATACAAACCTGAATCAAAATAGATCATGTCAGAGCCCCCTTGCAGGTGTGTTTGACCCGTAAGCCCCACTTTGGGCACTCCTGTTCTAGACAGTCTTAACATCTCCATAGAGACAAGCCCTCTACCAGGAAAGTTACACGGTGCACAGTGTACGGTGGAATAGTGTTTTGTACATTCCTCTGTCATATTTGTAAAGGGAGGGTTCTGTGTTGGTATCTGTTCTCTTTAAGTGTGATTCATTTGCATTGTGCAGTGTTGCAGAGTTCCCAGAGAGGACACAGATGTGGAGGTCAGAGCTCACCCAGAGTGTAGGCCAAGAAGTTAAAAATGCCTGCAGCCACCCAGACCCAGCTGGGAACGTGCACATGTCCGGCAGCTGAAACACACAGGGAGAAGCACGGTCAGACGAAAGTAACAGTATATTCACATAGATCAGAGCTTCATTCAAAACACCCAAATCACACCATTTTCTGTTCTTTGTTCTAATGTTGTTTCCTCATCACAAACAGACCTGGAGTTGTGTTTTGGTTCATTCACACATGTTTAACGCACAAACCCTGCATGTTTAGGCCGAGTTCTTCTCTCAAATTAAAAACGCTCTGCTCTGTTGCACCCTGTGATGTCATGTGGTAATACACTATCTGTGGTGATACACTGTCACTGCCCTGAAATTGCCTATCTCCACTGATCTAGGTAAAAGGTAACTGTTAATGTGAAACCTAACATGACATTACAGGATAGAATAGAACGTTATGAGCTTTGGAGATGTAGACAGACTAATAATAAAGTGTTACTCAAACACTGTAAATGAAACAAAACACAAGTCTAGCTCTGTTTTTGAGGAGGGAGCAATTTAAACATGGCTTAAAGCTCACAAGAATCCATTTAGTGTAATATAGGACAGATTAAAACTAAATATTATATCTTTTGAATAAGAAAAAGTCCTCAAGATGTTGAAACCCATGAATTGATAACATGATATTTTAAATATCTAAAAAAGAAAATGAACAAATTAAGTTTTAACCTGATGATTTCTATTAGTGACAAGGCATTTACCGTATTTTCCGCACTATACGGCGCTCTGGTTGATAAGGCGCATCCAAATGGTCTATTTTCAAACTTTTTTCACAAATAAACTGCACCGGACTATAAAGGAAACACAACAGTTGCATGGGTGAGTGGGACTTTGTTTGGCGTGTTCACGGTGACTCTGGGCTTTGTTCAGTTGTGGCGTGTAGGGAGGGTGCTGTCTGGGACCGCTGGATTGTCAGCGTGTTTCGCAGTGACTCAGTTGTTCAGTTGTGTCTAGAAGCGGCACATTGCACTCGCTTTTTCGGTTCGTTCCTCCGTTCCGTTCCTCATCGACGTGGAGTGATGAGTGTGTCTGTGGGTGTTTGTCGCTGTGTGGTCGCTGTTTGTTCCGTGTGTGTTTGCATGTTCTGCGGGTGGTGCGGCATTGTAGTTTACTGAAGTCGTGCTGGGAGTGGATTCGTGTATGGGGTGCTCTGGATTGTGGGGAGCAGTCGTTTTTTGATGGGGTTGGAGGCTTAAGAGCGCATCCTATAACCCGGAAAATACAGTATGTAATTTGAACAATATTATTCTGTATTAAAAGTTGCACAAAGTAGCTTTTTAGTTGGGGGTCCGTCACCTGCCTGTTTCTATGGAGATGTCATTGCTCCAGGAATGTTCCACAGTGTGACATTAAACAGCTTTACCTTACTTTTATTAAATTACAGGTGGTTTTATAGCTCAAAAATCCCTATAAAAACAGACATTCTGGCTGTGAGCAGGGTCGCTTCTCCACAGATCTGACCTGTAACTTAGTCTGGTTTAATCTCCATGAAGATAGAAAGGTTTAAATGCCATACTGTGAAACATTCCAATAACATCTCCATGGAGAAAAGCACCTGACGGATCCTCCACCAGAAAAGTTACGCAATGTACCATTAAATATTATTATCATTGTCATTGGAATGTTGTGATGTCATGTGAAACCCACACCTACAAACACAGCAATGTTTTGTCCCTTAAATGATTAACTACAGCTCCACTAATGTACAACACATGTTTTACTGGTACATTGATATAATTATGTCTTATTTCACACCAGTCTCTATTTATTTAGAATTTATTACTACAATTTATATATATATTTTTTTTCATCTTTGTTATTATATTATATTGTGATGTGTGAGCTCCTGCGTCCAAATCATTTCCCTTGTGGATCAATAAAGTTTGTCCGAGTCCAAGTCCAAGTGTGACGTCATAGGTTAGGGTTACCATGGTGCAATAATCAGGACACGATAGCGCCATGGTAACGGACTTTGGCTTTACAACTCGACATTCAGGTCAACAGAAGACAAGAAATTTCCCCGAACAGCTTTGTGTAAATTAAAGAACTAACATATCTAACATATAACTTATATATTCATGTCTAACCAGGATATCGGCTGAATCGATATTTAGAAGCAGATACTCAATACCAGTATTGATTCGGGGCATCCCCATTTAGGACTAGTAACATCAAATTGAGTATTTATTCAATATTATGTCAGAAGAATGAGTGAACTTACAAGACGCTGTGAAATCAAAGTCAAAGTAGGACAACATGACGAAGTTCAGGACGAGGAGCATGAACCCGGTGAACGTGATGAGGTTTGGAGCCAGCCATGTGGGTAAAAACTGTCACAAAATACACAATACACAATACACAGTACACAAGTTAGAAATATCATATAATATTGAGTTTTAACACCTATAATAGTAAACAGTGTGGACTGAGAAAATATTTAAGTTAAGAATTGCATTCCAAAATGTATAATATTATACTTATTATGATGTATAATATTATTATGATGTGTTTGAAATCGGGCTGGGCCATAGATCTGGTATCATTTAGAAGTATAATACACAGGCAACGATACAATACGTATCTCGATACAGTGAGCTTTCTATTCAATATGATATATTTCAAATTGATTCGATACAGTTCAATAAAAAATAAAGGCTAAATCATGGCAGTGATACTAAAAGTCTTGTCAAGAACTGATAAACCACTTCCTGTGCAAAGTTCATATGAAACACAAACATTTGTTCATTCAAACAGTGAAAATGTCAAATGTGTCGCATAATTGAGTTTCCTTCCTCTAAACAAGCAACAAAACTGTAGCTGTAATGAAATCACTTAGTAAAACATACCAAAAAATACTCTTGGGGATATATCGATACAGCAGCCCATGATATCGATACTGTATTGTCACATTAAATAATATGATATATCGATATTTTTGCACAGCCCTGCTGGGCTGTATCTCTTTTTTTGCACACACTGGATGATTATCGATTTTAATCAAAGTTGGAGGAAGGACTGCTGGTCTTTCAAACAGGAGAAGCTCTTCACATTTTTATTCTGATCATGTTATTATTCTGAAGAAACTGTAAACTGCCTTCAGTCACATTTGCACAATATCCCCGCTTTGTCAGAAGTAAACTGTTTCACAATAATCCTTGATTTTACAATTTCTCAATTTTTCAGAATCTCGAGTATTAAAAATGTGAATTAATTGAATTCATTTGTCTAATTGCCCAGCCATAGTTTGAAATGAAAATTCAAAGAGCAATAGACTTCAAATCCCAGTGGTACTGTAAATTATAATACATGACAAATGCTGTAAGCGCAGGATCCAACACTGTTATCTAATATCATCTTGGCATACTAGTACTTATTACATTTCATCAGATCCAAATCCCTCATTAATTTTGCAACACAGAGACTTAAGTCAAGTCTAGACTCGGAGCAGAGTACTCACCTTCACTACACAGTTCCAGAACGGGTGCATGACATAAACAGACAGAGGGTTTGTGTCCACGGCGCTGTACTGCAACGAAAACAAAACACACAAACAACAAATGTTTCATTCACGATCATTTAAAAGACCCAGATTACACTGTGTGTTGTTTAATCATCACAAACAGACCTGGAGCTGTGTTTGTTTCATTCACACATGTTCAACACACAAACCCTGCACATTTAGGCTGAGTTCATGTCTCAAATTAAAAAACACTGTTCCACTTTGTGATGTCATGTGGTAATACAGGAAGTGCTTTACTGTGTTCTTAAACTTCATACAGCTTCACTAGAATCTTTTGGATAATTTCAGCTCTAGAATTCCCAATCTCTACTGACCTAAAGGTAAAAGAAAGTGTTAACTTGTAGACAGACTTATAATAAATTGTTACTAAAAAACATGTGTGAAAAAAAAAAAACACAACTACAGTGTGTTTTTGATGAGGTAAGAGGATTCTAATGTGTTTTAAAGCTCACGAGAGTCCTTTTAAAGTACACAGGGAAATGGTTTACTGGATATTCTTGGCACATTTGTCAACACGCACTTCAAAACGAAACTGATTCCATGAAGTAACTTTATCCAGGCATCTCAACCAGTCCAGCCACTCTCTGATGTCACTGTGAGCTACTGTCATTTCAGAGCTCAGCGAAAGGCTTTTACATATTTTTGATTTCACAAATATTTCAATCATAGACATTAGGGCTGGGAATCGCAGGCTCGCTCACAATTCGATAAAATACTAGATACATATGGGGCAACACATAATAATAAATGATAATCAATATATTGTACATGATACTCTCTGTTTTGGTATTTTTTTAGAACATTTCTCTGTTAAACCACTATTAGTGCAAAGTTAATACATCTACTTTAAATGATCAAAATACAATCATAGTGCTATCACAATTTTTTTTTTTAAATACCAAAAAAATATTATTGGCGATATATCGATACGACAGCCCATGATAATGATGTTGTATCACCAAATTTAGAATCACGATTGGGGTGAAACGATACACAATTTCCACAAGACAAGATGAGAGACGAGATTAAATCCACAAAAACAAGACAAAACAAGACAATTTTGAAATAATTTATAGTAAAATAATGAGTAATCCCATTTGCAGTTTTAGCCTAATGATTTCTAATTTCATATTTTTGCTGTAATAGTAGATCTTCTTTTTGGAACCAGAAGAGATGTCCCTTACAATCCCTGAACTCTTTTTGTCTAAATTAGATGTAAACTAAATGGAAAACAATCTCAAGAGATCGATTTCCTCTTTTGTGCACGATCTTGTGACAGTTTTATGTCACGAGATCTTGTCCCATTCCCGATCACGATGCATCGATATTTCAATATTTTTGCACAACCCTATTAGACAAACAAAGTCCCTGGAAACTTACGGTGATTTTATTGTCACAACTTCTGAAACAGAGAACACTTATCAATATAAATACAGCTGTTCTGAGGAAATGAGATGTATGGCTGCCTGCTTTTACCTGCAGCTCTTCTGACCACCATCAACAAACACACACCAAGGTTTACATACAAGCAAAGTGAGTGAAGTGTTTTGCTCAAAGAAACAACAGAAGTATGCTGGTAGCAGAAAATGGGTTTGGTCAATGGGGAAACTCATCTAACAACCAAACTAGTGCCACAGCGGCGACATTACATGAAATTATGAAAACACCATAATGTACTAATGATCTAACTTAAAGCTTTGTTTCCCAAAGACTCAGCCGTGATGTTCAGGTGGGTTGCAAGAGAGAGTTTTTGGGTTGTCTTGTCACGATCTGCATGTAGGTCTGTGATATACACTTCTGACACATGAGAGAGCGAGTGAGTCAGCAAATATATTATCTGGATCAACATTTGGTGAGAATTTCCTGTCCTCAGTAGGGCCAGTGTTTCTCTGTTTATTCCTTTTACTACTATATATCTGTGTGAATTTGGATTTTCTGTGCTCACAAAAATGAAGACAAAACAGAGAAACAGACTGAACACTGCTCCTGATCTGCTGCTGCGTCTCCTCCTGCACTTGGACTGAACACCGGGTGTGTTCAGTCCGGGTGTGTTCAGTCCTGCACCCGGGACTGTGTTAGGGACTGAACACAGGCCCGAACACATCACCTTATGATGTCATGAAGTGTTTTCATTTTCAACTTTACTTTTTGTTCAGTAAAGATTGTCAATTCAACCAAATGTATCTAGTGAAGGTGTATGCTGTAGAGGTAAGATCTTAAGACCGAGCCCAAGCCCGACCCGACCCGACCCGAAATTCGGGTCAGGTCGGGCCTAAAATGTCAATCATTACTTCGGGTCGGGTCGGGCTCGGGCTTCAAATAAATATATGTTTATAAAATGTATGCTAAAACGATGTGTGGATACTAAACTAAGGAATACTTGTTATAAAATAAATAATATGGATAAAACAGAGAAGTAATGTAATGTAATTGCTATTTAACTACTAAACAGGATCCGCAGAGCCAGAGCTCTGCGCACGTGAACGCCCCCTCTTAATTTAATAATCTTCCCCTCCGCAAGTCTGCATCTATTTTGACCTGGTATCCCCAATATGGAGGAGCAAGAAGTTAAACTAAAGGCAGGAGAACTGAAAAGACAAACACGCACCGGTAAGAGTGAGGTGTGGAAAAGCTTCAAATTGATTGTTGAAAATGCTACAGAAACTTGCGTTGGCTTCGCTGAATGTCGTCAATGTGGCGCTTTGCTTTCATACGAGAGCAAAAAGACGCTGAGCACTGCTCCTCCTCCCGAGTCCTCACAAATAAAATATGACATTTCGGGTTTGCTTCGGGCTCGGGCCTGCAAATCAAGTTAATTGGTCGGGCTCGGGCCGGGTCGGGTTTTAATACCCGCGGGCCGGGTCGGGTCGGGCTGGATTTTTTAGGCCCGATCTCACCTCTAGTATGCTGTTGTAACCTGTATTTCAATATGACATCACAAGGTGGAGCAGAGTGTTTTCTGTGAGAACAACTCTATGTGCAGAGTTTGTGTGTTAAACATGTGAATGAAACAAAACACAGCTCCAGCTCTGTTTGTGATGAGGACACAACATTAGAACACAGATCAGAGAACAGTGTCACATGGAATCTATAAAAACACTTTATAACTTCAGTTTTACAGCTTCCATTATAATGCCATTCCTAAACTTAAGCTTTGTCACAACCCACAGGCAATTTGAGAGCAAGAAGAACACGTTTGTTATGAAAATACAGACGGTCCCTGAGTTTTCTTTAACATCCACTTATCATAACATCCATATCATGAAACAGACCTTTGAGAAATAAGGGCTGTAAGGAAGTGACTCTTAAAAAAAAATTATACCAAGTACTTAAAGCTGTTTTTGTGTTCGTTTAGCAATCCTCACTTCTGTTTTTGCTTCTATATTAAAAGTTCTATATTACACAAAAGTGACTCTTGTGAGCTTTAAGTCATGTTCTAATGTTGTTTCCTCCTCAAAAACAGACCAAAAACAGACCTGGAGTTGTGTTTTGTTTCATTCACATGTCTGAGTAACACTTTATTATGAGTCTGTTTACATCTCCAAAGCTCAAAATGCTCTGTTCCATCTTGTGATGTCATGAAGTGGTAGTTTTGAAGTTAAAATCTACCTTTTGCTTTTAGTTCAGAAGAGATTGGCAGTTCCAGGGCTGAAATGATTAAGTATTTCTGAGCAATAAAACCACCTGTAATTGCCTAAATGTAAAGTAGAGCTGTTTAATGTCACACGAACATTCTAGGCAGAGCAATGACATCTCCATAGAAACGAGAAGGTGATGGACCCCAGCCATTAAGTTACACAGCCACAGTTCACCTTTAAACAAGTGTGAATGAAACAAAACACAAACAAAAAACAACAAATAGTGTCATATTGTCCCTTTAACGCATCAGCTCAAATAGGATGTGTTTGAAATCTCCCATGTGCGCTGAAGTCTTAACAGGTCGTTTCATATTTGTCAGGCCCACGTCCAGAGAATCAATATAAAAACAATGTCCTTTATACAATTCAATCAGTCATCCTCTCAGATTCAGTTCTTGAGGAGCCTGAGTCATTCTGAAAGCAATTACTGGAAACAGGCCCCTCATGACAAACAGCTCTGGGGGCCAATTTCACACAGTAATCAACAGTGTGGAGTGTGCCGTGCCTTTTAAGGACAAGTACAGTGATAGAGCTACAAGGACCAAGACAGAACAGAAGGAAATTATTAGATTATGTATTAAAAGGCCCATGTGACGCTATTCATAGATGTTTAACACACAAACCCTGCACATTTAGGCCGAGTTCTTCTTTCAAACATGAAAAAAACCACTCTGATCCACCTTGTGATGTCATGTGGTAATACAGGAAGTGCTCCACTGTGTTTACAAACTCCATACACCTTCAGTAGACTCATTTGGATGACTGAGGGTACCCCGGGTTTGACTACTGCAAATTTACAACTTTTTTAAGACATTTTTAAGACCACTTAAATGAAAATGAAGACCAACATCGCACCCGTATGCAGGCGAAAAACACCCGATCCAATTCTAATAATGACCATTACTCAATGCTTCAAATAACAAAAAATACTTTTATTATAAAATCTCATTTAGAACTAGGGCTGGTATCATTAAGAAGTTGCCGATACGATAAATACCTCGATACACAGGCCACGATACGATACATTAGGGGTGTGCAAAAATATCAAAATATGGATATATCGTATCGTTTAAAGTGATGATACAGTATCGATATTGTGGGCTGCTGTATCGATACACCACCAAGAGTATTTTTTGGTTTATTTTACTAAAGTATTTTGTTGCAGCTACAGTTTTGTTGCTTGTTTAGAGGAAGGAAACTCATTTATGTGACACATTTGACATTTGCACTGTTTTGATGAATAAAATATTTGTGTTTCATATGAACTTGAACAAGAAGCGGTTTAACAAAGACGTTAGTATCACAGTCAAGATTTAGCCTTTATTTTTTACTAAACCGTATGGAATCGATTTGAAATATATCGTATCGAATCAAAAGTGCACTGTATCAGGATATGTATCGTATTGTGGCCTATGTATCAAGGTATGTATCGTATCGGCACCTACTTAATGATACCCAGCCCTACGACACATATCTCGATACAGTGCACTTTCGATTCGATATGATATAGTTCAAATCGATTTGATACAGTTCAATAAAAAAAAAAAAAGTTAAATCATGCTGAAAGTCTTTGTTAAATCACTTCTTGTGCAAAGTTCATATGAAACAAAAACATTTCAATCATCAAAACAGTGAAAATGTCAAATGTGTCACATAAACCAGTTTCCTTCCTCTGAACAAACAACAAAACTGTAGCTGCAACAAAATAATTTTGTAAAATATACCAAAAATATACTCTTGGCAATATATTGATACAGCAGTCTCTGATATCGATACTGTATCATCACATTAAACAGTACGATATATAGATTTTTCTATATTTTTGCACACCCCTATTTAGAACTCATTTATAGCCGTATGCATCGCTTGTAAATGGCCAAAAAATCATTTATAACATTCTGACAAGACAAACTAAGTATTGTTTGCACATACTCCAAATTAAATATTCATTCATGTTGCTGTTTTTTTTTCCTCCCTTCGTTTAACTTTGCACTGCAGCCCGGGTGAGTAAACAAAAAAATAGGCTAATGAAATTTAAGACCTTTGTGAAAAAAAAAACAAGACTTGGACAACATCATTTAAGACTTTTTAAGGCCTTAATTTAGGAACATGAAATTTAAAACCTTTTTAAGACTTTGAAGACCCCACAGCTGCCCTGTCAGTCCTGGAATTGCCAATCTACTAAACTAAAAGTTAAAGGAGCTGTTCACTTGGAAAGTACTGCTTCTTGTTCAGATGTAAACGGTGAATGAAACAAAACACAACACCAGGTATGTTTCTGAGGAGGTAACAATGTTCCAACATGACTAAAAGCTCACAAGAGTCAATTAAAAAAGGGTTAATCAGGGTTAGTGTTTTAGCGGCAATAGTAAATGAACAGTAATTCTAACAAATAAACGAAAAATAACTCGCTCATCCATCCAATAATGTCTTTTGTTAATGGCTGTTATTAGCCCAATGACACAAGATCATAATGGATTGAGAACCTTCAACTCTAGCCCTCTATTACATTACAGCTATCTCAGTTTCAGTTTAGTTTATTTGTCATTTGCAGTATGAAAAGCACTTTGGAAAAGTGGTGCGAGGAGCATTCACACACATGCACAGACAAATGAAAACATATTAACAACACAAATCACAGAATATGAACCCATGGAAAAGACGCAATTAAAACACCTTTTAGTCAAAGATTTTAAAAAAGTACATAAATAAATACATATAAAGTGCCCGCTGCAGTTTTAAAGCGCATGTTTAAAGTGATCACTCTCTGTGGACGAGATGTAGTGGAGAATTAAGGTGATCAGACGTTCCTGTTTACCCGGGACAGTCCCATTTCTGAGCCCTGTGTCCCCTGTCCCAGCAGATTTATACAAAACCAGTGATTTGTTTTATAAAAGAAATGTTGCAGGTGTCCTTATTTTGGACCAGTTTGATCCCTGCCAACAGTAAAAAGAGGCATAAATTGTCATTTGTTTAGGTAAAATACAGAAAAGCTGCTTAAAAATGACAAAAACACCCCAAGGACCCAAAGATATTTTTTGTTAGACCTTCTGCCTGGAGAGGTGATCGAAAAAGCAGACAGATACCTTTTTAAGACTCTGACTTTAGCATCAAAAAAAGCAATAACAAGAAGCTGGTTTAAAAAGGACCCACCGTCAGTGAACCAGTGACTTGACATTATAGAAGAAATCTACTCCATGGAACGACTGACTTTTCTCAGAGGACATTTCTTCATTAAACACTGGACAAAATGGTTGAAATATAAACAAAAAGAGACTTGACTTCTATATCCTTATAACAACGGAACAGTGCCCCAGGTTTTTGTTTTTGTATTTGTTTGTTTCTCAAAGCTTGAAAAACTGAATAAATAAAAAGTAAAAAAAATAAAAATAAAAAATTACAAAAACACAAAGAAAATATGACTATACTGAGTCACAGAGAGAATACCAATTTTCCTTAATTACCCACTCATTTCACAATGTTATTATTACCAACCACACCAAACCGAGTGTCCCAGTTTTTGATTTTGAAATTCCGGTGGTCACCCTATGCATAATCTTATATATGTCTATAGTTAGTCTGTCCACAATCAATCTTAGTGTGTTTATTCTGGGTATGAATCAGTTGCCATCTTCCTTAAACATGATGGGTCCAACTGAAAAGGCTCTTTGTCTCCTCAGGCACGAGGATGACATGCTTAATGACTTTTTTACTACATTTTTGTTTACTACAGATTGGATTTGGGTTGAATGGGTTCATCTGTTCACTGTGACATGTCATAGCGTGAAATTGACACTAAGTCAAATATTACTCACTTAATCATTATGAAAGTAGAAGTGTAGCAAGATTTAATCACACATTAGGCAGTTTTTCCCTGGTTTGTGTTGGTTGGTAATAATAAAATCGTGAAAGTGAGTGTTAATTGAAAATTGTTCTGCACTCAGCACTAATGCAAGTCAATACAGTCACATTTTCTTTGTGTTTTTGTCATCTTTAAGCAGCTTTTCTGTATTTTACCTAAACAAATGACAGTTTATGCCGCTCTTTACTGTTGGCAGGGATCAGATTGGTCAAAAATAGGGACACCTGGGACATTTCTTGTATAAAACTGGGACAAATCACTGGTTTTGTACAAATCTGCTGGGACAGAGGACACAAGGCTCAAAACTGGGACTGTCCCGGGTGAATACTGACGACTGATCACCTTGTTCAACACAGCAAAATAATACAAAAGAGCAAGAAATGATTCGCATATACGTTATTCCCCAATCTAATTTACATTTATTCTAAGGAGACTACAGACTTCATGGCAGAATTGTTGTGAAACGATACAATTAGAAAATGAATTTAACGTTTGAAATACACAAAAGAGACATTATAGGTATAGTAAAAGGCTTCATAGTGTCAGATTACTCGTGATACGCGTGGGTCTGTTCATACACACTGGTTTGTAGCAGGGTCTTGACAGCTAGCTCTTCTCACATACACACACACACCACACACACACACACTAGCGGCTAACATGCTAACGCTGCAGTCTTACCTTGTATTTATCGAAACCCGCAAGTTGCTCCTGAGTGACATAATTGTACAGAACCATGTTGATGCCCGATGGCTCTTCAGACTATAAACGTGTGTTTTATCTCGCTTTAGACACTCGATCGCCCACTGCTAGCTGCCAAGTGCGAGCACCATCTATGTAGCTTAGCCGCTGTAGAAGGTTCACGCCGGCTGAGGAAACGATGAGGCTCAAGGCAAGCTAGAGAGCGCTGCATTCCGTTTCCTTAGCTACTGCGGCGGCCATCTTGAGATTGTAGAAGCAGCTACTATAATGTAAATGAAAATGAATTTATTAAAGGGTTTAAATTGGCATATTACGGAATATTTGGGGCGACAGTAGCTCAGTTGGTGGAGTGTTTGGCCACTGATCCGAAGGTTGGAGGTCTGAATCACACTCTCATCATTGGTTGAGCGGTCAGATTAATAAATCAAAAACCGGGACACCCCCGGTGACTCACACCAGACAAATCTGGAACTATAGTAAGATTAAAATGAGAGTCTCAATTTTGTCTTCTGGGCTTATAAAAATTATATATATTTGAGCAGCATTTTTTTCCCTCTGGGTGTTCAAGCAGCTTTTCTGGATTTTACTTAAACAAACAAATGACACTGTCTCTCTTTACTGTTGGCAGGATCAGATTGGTCCAAAATAAGGACACCTGGGATATTTCTTGTATAAAACTGAGACAAATCACTGGTTTTGGATAAATCTGCTGGGACAGGGGACACAGGACTCAACACTGGGAGATGCACTGACCTACAGGTTGGCAGTGCAATTCCAGCTCCCACAGATGAATGCTGTCATTGTGTCCTTAAGCGAGACACTTAACCCACCTCACCCCGGTGTCTGCATGCAATGGTGTATGAATGTGTGAGTGATTCCTTGATGTAAAGTGTTTTCAGTGCCTTGACGGTGGAAAAGTGTTGTTATTATTTGTTATATATTTGTGCAGCCATCTTGTGATTCTAGGAGCAGCTACTTCTAGACAATAATGTGAACAAAAATGCATTGATTAAAATGCATTGTGCTACAGGCAGAGTGTTTGTCCACTTAGGACACTTGTGTCCTTGGGCAAGACACTTAACCCACCTCTCCCTAGTGTCTGCATGGATGAGTGTTTGTGTAAATGGGTGAGTGATTCTTGACGTAAGGTGCTTTGAGTGTCTTGAAAGTGGAAAAGTGCTGTATAAAAATGTGTGACCTTGTGACCAAATTGACATATAATGGGATATCTGTGTCTGTTTCTGTGGATAATGCGGTGGCTGTCTTGTGAATGTAGGAGCAGCTACTAGTTCTCTTTTTTAATTAAAAAAATAACATAAACAAATTTGCATTGATTAAAGGGTTAATTTGAGATCCTAATAATGCAAGGAACTCTCTGGACATCTCTCAGTTATGAAGAGGAATATTCATCCTAAATAATATTACATTTCACTAGTTTATGCATTTGATGTCGATGAATGAACAGCATGGACACTGCTTTAATAAACATTCTTTGTGCTATAAAAGAGGAATTTATATCACCCAAACAGTTGTTTTTCTGCATTAGTATGGTAGAACATTTGATGAAGGAAAAATATGAAAACGTATTTACGAGATGATTTTAAGAGAAATGTATATATAAATAAAAAGTCCAACTCCCTGCACAAGTTTTTGAGGAGAATTTTACCAGTCATAACATGGCTGCTGGGGAGTTGCACCATGGCGATGAACGCTCTAGTTTTATAATAAACATTTGGGCTGAGCAATGTGGTCGAAACACTGCGGCCACTCCTCCCACTCCTACGAGAGATCATCCGAGAGAGGCGTCTCGAGCCCCCGAGCTGACACGGAATTAATAATAATAATAATAATAATAATAATAATAATAATAATAATAATAATAATAATAATAATAATAATACAAACAAAATTAATTAATCTGTTTCGTTTAACTAGAGCTTTCATCCTTAAAATTTTTGCTTTTATCGTTTTTATTCAATTTAATTTCAATATTTTCTGATCGACTTGTAGCGTGCTTTCTACGTTGCTTTAATAATTACAATAATAATAATAATAATAATAATAATAGTAATAATGAAGAAGAAGAAGAATACATAAATACATTAATGAATAATAAATAAATAATAAATAATATAATACATCTGTTTCGTTCAATTGGAGCTTTCACCCTTAAAAATGTTGCTGAAATGATTTCTTATGTTTTTATTTTGATCATTTATTATATTTTATTTCAGGTGTTGCGTGCTTTTAAACGTGACGTGTCTTTCCTGTCAAACCGGAAGCAGCGACAGCAGCGACGTTTACATCCACCACTGCAAAACCTCGTCTGGATCAGGAATCAGATACAATAAAACAACCATGTAAGTAGTTTATAGTTTACTGAAATCTTTGTGCGTTTAATGGATGGTTTTTCCAGTGACGACTGAGCGACTTGCATGTCAATATTTATGCTGTGGTTTCAGGATGCAACAAAATACGAGCTAGCATGCTAACAGCCCTGTCATCTTTGGTGATTGTGAATGTTTATATCGTTTATATCATCTTTACTCAGTCTGTGCTTTAATGCTACAAGAAATGTTTATTTGAAGTTATGAAATTGTTCTAACTTGACGGATAATGTATTTTAAAGGTACAGTGCGCAGTGTTGGAAAGGTGACTTTTAAAATGTATTCCCTTACAGATTACAGATTACATATCCCAAAATGTAGTTTGTAACGTAATCCATTAAATTACTTAAAGTGAGTAATGTAATCTGAATACTTTGGATTACTTGATTTGCTGTAGAGAAGCAAAGACGAGGATATCTTCACATAAGATGTTTTATTTGCTAAAAGACCATGAAAAGCCCAGACTTTACTGAACCGTATTAAAAATATTATTGATAGAAGAGGAGGAAACACTGTCCACGCTGCATGATTTAGTCCTGGTTTAGTCCTGGTTTATTCCTGGTTTATTCCTGGTTTAGTCCTGGTTTAGTCCTGGTTTAGTCCCGGTTTAGACCTAGTTTAGACCTGGTTTAGTCCCGGTTTAGACCTACTTTAGACCTGGTTTTAGACCTTGTTTAGTCCTGATTTAGACCTACTTTAGACCTGGTTTTAGACCTGCTTTTAGTCCTGCTTTAGTCCTGCTTTAGTCCTGCTTTAGTCCTGCTTTAGTCCTGGTTTGGACCTGGTTTGGACCTGGTTTGGACCTGGGTTTGGACCTGGGTTTAGTCCTGGGTTTAGTCCTGGTTTAGACCTGGTTTAGTGTCCGGCAATGAGTGAAATTACCAAACAAAACAAAACAAAAAAAAAACGGAATAACCCAAAATGTGAAAACGGGAAAATACCTCCATGTAATCCATTAATTTTAACTAAGTAACTGTAATCCAATTACCACTCATTGAAACAGTAACTGTAACCAAATACAGTTACTCATAATTTGTACTCTGATTACGTAACTCCAGTACATGTAATCTGTTACTCCCCAACACTGGCAATGCGTAACTTTTCTGGTGGTGGGTCCGTCACCTTCTTGTTTCTAGATCCACAAGGGGAATTATTTAAACACACTAGCTCTCACATCACAATATAATAACAAAGAACTAAAATATAAATGGTAATAATACATTCTCAATAAGTAGCAAAAAAGAGCAAGAGACGGGTATCAAATAAGAAATAATTATATAAATGCAAATGCAAAATAGCCACTCAGTATATATCAGTAATGTATAAAATTGCAGCTTTATACAAGAGGTCATAGGAAAACGGTGAACAAAAATGATATGATGATTGACAGGAATAATATTGTTATTCTATGGAGATGTCATTGCTCTCCCTGGAATGTTCCACACTGTGACATTAAACAGCTCTGTCTTACATTTATTAAATTACAGGTGGTTTTATAGCCCAGAAATACCTCGGGACCACCTCTCCACAGATCTGATCTGTAACTTGGTCTGGTTTGGTCTCCATGAAGGTAGAAAGGTTTAATACAATACTGTGAAAAATTCCAGAAAAAGCAAAAACATCTCCATGGAGAAAAGCATTTGACGGACCCTCCACCAGAAAAGTCCCACATGTGGACAGATCTTTCTGATGATGAATAGCTCTACAAAAATATGGGCAAGCTTAGTTTCAGCGTGACCCTTTTAAAATGAAGTGACAAATAAAAGTCTGTGTTTCATATTTGCAGAATGGTTACAGACGTGCAGCTGGCCATCTTCGCCAACATGCTCGGAGTGTCTTTGTTCCTGCTGGTGGTGTTATATCACTACGTGGCTGTCAATAACCCCAAGAAGCAGGAGTAAATTTGCCATGATTTAAAAGGTAAATAAGTGCCAGCGGTAAAACTCCTCTTGTGGCTTTCAAATGGACATTGTTGCATTGAGAGGCCCATATTACGCTATATTATAATGTAGTTTCCTCATCGCAAACAGACCTCGAGTTTTGTCTTGTTTCATTCACACAATGTTTAACACACAAATCCTGCACATTTAGGCTAAGTTCTTCTCTCAAACACAGACAACTCCATATAGAAACACTCCATACACCTTCACTAGAATCATTTGGATAATTTCAGCCTTGCACTGCTTTGTGACATCACAAGGTGGAACAGAGCATTTTGAGCTTTGGAGATGTAGACAAAACACAACTCCAGGCCTGTTTTTGAGGAGATAACAGTACTCTTAACATGGCTTAAAGCTCCCAAGAGGCCATTTTGCGTAATACAGGTCCTTTTAAATTTCAGATATCTCTGGTTTCTTTGCCATTGTTCATTATCTGATATACTTCATTGTTTTATACTTCTTCTTTTGTAGTTGAAGAATGAAGAAAGATGCACCACCCTGGAAACATTCCCCTCTTCAGCCCTTTGTCCAATTAAGACAAAAATTTCTGTTAATGTTGCACATTAATTAGCATTTTTATAATAAACATGTAAACACCATTATTTCTGTTTGTCTTTGTTTGCAACAAAAACATGGATTGTATTGAATGATTTTTATTCATTTGTGGTTTTGTACAAACAGTATAATCTCTCACAACAGTACAGTGATGATGCTTTCCTTTACACACACACACACACACACACTTGTACACTCAGTAGCTCATCAAAGGCTGTGCTGCAATTATAAAAAGTACATATGAAAGTACATTTTTAATACAATCAAACTGTAGTAACTAACACTACTGAAAATCTCATTTCTTCAAAGCTACACAATAACAGTTCTATTTAATGTAGTTCTACTTTGGAAATGGGTTTTAATATCAACTTTAAAGCATGCAAAGTCCAAGCTATTAAACTCCTGTGATGTAGGAAAAACAAAAGAAATTCACTTCCTTAAATAAACTTAAATGTATTTTAACCTGTGTTACTAATAATTATTCAGACAAAAGGTGCAAATTCAAATATATTACTGTACAAAAATACATAGATATAAAATAATACCATGATAAATGACCCAGGTCCTGGTCTTTTCTTGTTCATGCTCTTTACATTTGAAAGATTTCCTCTGACGGTGTCTATCACAGACTGTAAACAGTCTATGGTCTGTGTGAAATGTGCTGCCATTTGAGATGATTCGATGGATGTGCACTAAATAACTAAATCATTTTATACTGCACTGTGTGAATATGTACACTGTACGTGTACGTGTTTCATGGAATTCCACTAAAATATATAACTTTTACTGAAAATAAAAAATAAACATCTACTTTTATAAACTTTCAAGGTAAATAAGGTAACAGGCTTTGCTTTTGGACTGGACAATTGAAAGTTACAGTGAATAAGTAAAGTGAATGGTCCTAATACCACAGTATTTATATATTACTAAAACTACTGTCATTATTTACAGTACTTTGTAAGACGTCAGCTGCATTAAGTTTAATTTGGTGCCATTGAAAACTGCAGGTTTCTACAAAAATAAAGTAATGTTTCTATCTTATTTCACTGCTGTAGAGCCACTGAAAAAGGCACTGAACATAGGCTACAGTATTGAATTGCAAAAAGGTGCAACCACCGTGACCACCTCCATCACTGCATTCACAAAGAGTAAACAAAGCCATGTATTGTACAGTAACACGTGGTCATTAGAGTTTATGGTATCTTCATTTTGATCACAGGTTTGTTCAGTTCAAGTCTATAAATAAAAGACTGTAACAGTCTATACAGTCGATGCTACAAATGCCAGAGAACACAAGTGCTAGGCTTCACCACAGAGTGTCGCTGTTTCAGTCAAGTTGAGGGTTTCTGGCAGACGCAGCAGAGAAGTCTCTTCTCCCTGTAACACAACATGGATCATAGATCAAGGACAAAAACAATGATAAAGTCACTGTTGTGTTCTGTTTATCACTGACCTCTGGTGTGATTTCATCTATTCCTTTGTTGAGATGGAGACTATTGTCAGTATTTTCCTTAATAATTGCTTTGGAGGCCAACTGTAACGCAGCCTGTTTTCCAGAAACACCTGTAGAAAATTACAGAATTAAAATGATTTAGAATGATTCAAATGAACATGTGTACACTACTATTCAATGTACCTTTCCAAAGTAATCACCCATTTTTGTTTTGCAAATTAAATGAATCAATAAAAATATGATTTCTGTTTTTTTCTTACCTGTGAGTGACAGGTGGCGCTGCAGTCCTGGCCGGAGCAGCTTCCACACCCTCAGACTGCACAGCTCCTCTTTCCCATTTGATTGACAGTTTGTGGACGGAACTTCACTCGAAGTTCTGATGGGGATCCGGCTCAGGTGAGGCTGCAGCAGTTCACACCTGAGCAGGAACAGAAGGTAAAATGTCAGGTTGTTATGTATTAAAGTGTAGGAGATTTTTTGATACATGGCTTTAGTCGTACGCACTTGCTAAATTTGATAGAGGAAAGTATGTGCTCAGGCCCCAAGTCTTTAGTCTGTGTGAGACATAAAAGTTAATAAAAGGTACAAAGATGGGTCTGGTATACTCATACTGGTTTGATAGACAGTGATATAAACTAACCTGAGAGAAGGACAGAGGCCGGCCGCTCCTCCCCACACGCCCCGAGCGCATGGGGAAGGGCATCCGTGTCAAACACACTGAACTGGGGCCCCCCACCTGGATGTCTGGACAACTTACCCCTGTGAAGCACATTCAAGCACATTCATTTAAACTTTAATAAGAAAAACACAAGGACCACAAAGAGAAACTGGAAGTAAAGAGCAGAGGAGTCCCAGGACACAAGTGTTACAAAGAGATTTTATTCCAGTGGAATAAAGACATTCAAGAAGACAAGATTTGTAAAGATAACGAGACAAACGTGAGTTCAGATGCAGAGGGTTAGCACCACATTGAAGTAACAGCACAGCTCTTATTGGAGAAATGTACAAGTGAGTGTGATGTGTACAGTACATCTCCACTGTTCGTCACCAGGTCCATCACAGTGAAAAAGATCATAACCGTACTGTCCATATGTTACACTTCATACATAATTAAATCTTTAGCCTTGTTTAGCATGACTGACCAAGTATTAATCAAAGTTTTGGGAAAATAGAGAAATAAACTGCATAAGTCAGTAGCATGACAGGCAGGTTCTGTTTTTTAGCTGTAAAAATGTTTTGGATTGGGTGAAGATGGAGCCAGTGACACCTACAGATACAGCAGGGTCTGGAGAGAAGAATGAGACTTGGGCAGTTATGCTACGAGGCAAAATGTGAATGTTTATCCATAACAACTTGTACATGAAATGGGTAATTATAATTATTACTACAGTATATGTTCACTATTTGAAACATCGATGATTAACAATGTCATGTGCTGAGGACCAGTCTCCTGAGCTGGCAAAGCTGAACTATTGTAACACTATGAGCAGAACCCTGCGTACACAGAAGGAAGGCACACCAAAAGCTACAGTCACATCTGAAGATCTGAACACACTGAGATGTTCTTCAACACTAAACTTAAACACATTTAGAGCCTCTAAAAGGCCTCAGGGTGTGTTCACACTGACAATCAACGCATCAGAGCTGGGATTTAACTGGACTGGACTGAACTCAGAACTAAACCTGGGCTAGACCAGGAACCAAATCTAAATTAGAACTCAAACTGGGCCCAAATCAGGACATGTGTGAACGCACCCTCTGTTACATAGTTGATGTACATAGTTTATAATTAGGCATGAAATGTACATAGAAAGTTGGACTTTGCTTAATTCAAATATAGAGATAAATGATATAACCACAAACAGCTTACTGCATACACTGGCCACATTCACAGAGATGGTCTTAAAATGAGAACAGAAAGCTCTGGGGTCATTTACACATTATTTACAGTGCAGTGGCAGGAGAACCAGTCACTGATTCTGATTTATTGCTTGTTGGTAAATAGCTTATAGGTGTGTTAATAGGTGTGTCTCTTAAAGAAACAGACTCTCATGTTTGGACATGAGCTCAGGGCAGTAGCTACTGTGGTCAGCACCACACTGACACTGGAATGACTCAGATAGAGGCTCATGAAGCTAAACTATAAATAAACTAAAATATTTAGAAGAGTAAAGGCCTTTCATTTGTACTTTATAAATAATTATCTTTTTAAATATGATTTAAATATCCACTAATGGTTAAATGACATCTTCAACTTGTCATAAGCCTGTTTCCACTCATGTAAATAAACACAAGGTGCACTGACCAACAAAGCTTTAACTGGCCTTTATCTGAAAACTCTCATATCAGAATCACATTCTACAGAAAAATAAAGTGCAGTGTGGAACTTTCATTTTAGTTTAGCTTATTGCAGCATGCAGCCATTTTATTCTAGACTGCCAATATATTTTAAGTAATGTTTCCACTCTCAGTAGAATTACCACATCAATTTAATCTTTTTCACCTAAATTTCAATCAGTGGATTTCAAGTTACTTTGTGTTGACCAACTCAAAGAGTCCAAAAACATGTTTTACACAGAAATGAAAAGTAAAGAGGAGACTAGCACCAGAGACGCGCTAGCACCAGAGTATGTGACCCACAGTATGTGACCCACAGTATGTGACCCTCAGTCCTGGCTGGGTGCTGCTGCAGAGTTTGCAGGAGGAGGTGGGAGGCCCTGGAGGAGCAGGGGGCTCAGTTTGGATAGAAGCCCAGGCCGAGGCAGCGCCTGTAGGGAGGGGAGCAGAGTGGACAGGCTGGGGGGCTGGAGGGTGTACAGACCTGACATACTGACGGAGCCGGGGAGAGGACAGGACCCCGGGGCGCACACAGAGGAAGACGAAGAAGAGGAAGAGGAGGGGGGAGAGTGAGGAGCGGTCGGGCGAGAGGAGGGGGCGTGGCTGTTACTGGGCGAGCGAAGAACTGGGCGGTGGTGGTGGTGGTGAGGGGGGCGTCTCTTCTCTTGAGCCTTTGAGTCTGCAGAGAGAGAGAGAGAGAGAAAGTGTCCATCACCACATTCTGTCTATGGAAATGTTACTGGTTTGCCTGAAATGTTGGCATCCTCAAACAGATGGTGCCACCAGGCCAAGTTACAGGTCAGATCTGTGGAGTGGAAACCCCGCTTACAGTGAGGATGTATGATTTTCAAGATATTTGTTTAGCTATAAAACACCTGTAATTGAACAGATCCAAACTAGATATACTGTAAGCCCTCCTGTGGAACATTTCGGGTAAAGCAATAACATCACCATGGTGACAAGCAAGTGGTCCCTCCACCAGGAAAGTTACAGAGTGCACCTTTGCAACATTATTATTATTATTAAGATCAATTGTGACTATATTCACAGCAAAATCCACACCCCTCAAATACTGTACACTAGGCCTGTCACATTTTGAATATATGCTATATCACTACAGAGATACTTACTACCAACTCTTTAGGGCTCAGATTTTATTGTATTATTAACAAAAATACCCAAAATCTCCCACTTTTACAAAAATGTACAAACGATAATTAGAGAGCTCAGAAATATAATGTTCCAGGTTTCATATATTCAACACTAAATTGATCAAGTCATTATTGTGGTTGACTGTACATGCTGAGCTGTCATGAAGCGCTGAACTGGAACAAGGAGACAGGTGAGAACAAAGCAGCCCCTAGATAATGTCATCTAAACCCTGTCATAAAGCAGAGGATAGTCTTACCGCGCACAGGGCCCAGTGTCTTGTTGCCTCCTCCTCGGGTGCTGTTGTGCTGTGGGTGGGTGGGGCGGGGAGGGGGGCACCCAAAGGTGAAGCTGGGGGAGGTGTGGATCTTTGGGGAGGGGGTCTGACTGCTGCTGCTGTGGCTGTTACACCGAACACGAGTCAGGGTGTTCTCTGATGACGAGCCTGACAGGGAGCTGGAGGGAGAAGTAAAACAGACAATCATTCTACGGTCTTATTGTTTCTATGCGGTTTTAACATCAGCAGTTCATTCAGCAAATGATACACCCATTGACTGTATAAAGAAGTGGACTAAGTGAGTGTGATGTCACCCACAGCGTTCAGCGCCGCTCAAATGAAGCTTGTGATGTTAACAGTTACAGGGACGAATTTGGAGCCAGGCACTATATTATGAATAGAATTTTTTTGACAGACAAAATAGTGGGAGAAAAAACAGGATCGTGTAGAGCGGGTTAATACAAACACATCATATTCCAATGTAAGTCATGGGTCAGTAGGAGCCCGAAGAGCCACATGCGAACTTCCTATTTGGAATGCGGTGGCTAGTGCGTTAACAGTCTACAGTCTATGGACACACCAGCTAGTTTGGTTGAAAATCATGTTTTTGTACAGGCTGTTGAAATCAAATTGAGGAAGATACAATTCTACAAATGTATTCTTAAAGAGTTAATTTAATAGTGAAATTGGATCTAACAAGTAATAACATTAAAACAGATTTAACACGTTTTTCCACTGGTATTACTTTACATCTGTCAATTTCACTGTACGGGTCCACAGTCAGTTACGTGGTTATCCTGAGGGTACAAGCCTAAAAAGTTTGGAAACATTATCTCTATTCCAAAAAATACATATAAAATATGTTTTTCCTATTGATACTTTGCAGCTAATATCAATAACATTCCCTGGGGGTGTGATGCTGTAGGCCCTGCTTTGTCTGAGGCTTTATTAGACTTTATACTGATCTTTATTTTAACATGACCAGAAAGAACTGATTTAGCTGCAGCTTACAACAGGTTAGCCAACAGTTTTTCAGTTAGTCACTCTCATTTGTTTATTGAAATGAAACACCTAAACAGTACCATGAGCACTTGTATTGTTTGCTAATGTGTGCATTGTGTCACCATGGTAACTCCTAAACATTCCAACATTAGAAACACACGTAGAACACCTCCTGCGTAATATCACTGCAAAGCATCCACATATAAACATACAAATAATATTGACTTGAGGCTTGACAGTGATTCTAAGAAGTCTATCACCGCAAACATCCATGTAGAGATGATTTAAACCTGTCTTAATGTGGACCACTGAACTCCACATACGACACCAGCAGTACGTACTTGATGAAGCTCTTTGGTGGCGTCACTTTGTTTGCGTGGTAGGGTTTGGAGGCGAGGTGAGCGTTGGTGTTGGCATTTGCATTGAGCCCCTTTGTGTTGCGGACGTATTTGAGGATCCAGGCGCGCAGGTTTGACAGAGAGCTGTGTTCAGACAGAACCAGCCGGGGCCACGGGTTACACTCCGCCATGTCCAGAGCGGAGATGGCCACCGCTCGACCCACCTGAAGCACAGACAAACACTGTATTAAAGGTGCACTGCGTAACTTTCCTGAAGGAAGATCTGTCAACTGCTTGTTTCCACAGAGATATCTTTGGTTTGTCTGGAATTTTCATCAGCACAGCATGAAACTCATCCATGTCCGTCACCTGCTTCTCTCAATGGAGATAGTGGCAGAAATGTTCCACACTTATTAATCTCTACAGAGAGAGCAGATGACACAAAAGCGCCAAGTTACATGTCAGATCTGTGGAGAGGCAGGCCCACTCACAGTAGGAAAGCAAGATTTTAGGTAATTAAAAATTCATGTTATTGAGTAAATGCAAGATAGATTTGTTTAATGCCACACCAGGACAGTCAGACAAAACAATAACATCCACCAGAATTACACAACATACCTTTAACACAAATCCTGCATATTTAGGCTGAATTCTCTCAAACAGAGAACACTCTGTTCCACCTTGTGATGTCATGTGGTAATATGTTTTTAACCTCTATACACCTTCACTAGAATCATTTGGATAATTTTAGCACTGGAATTGCCAATCTCTACTGAACTAAAGCTAAAAGTATCTTTTAGCTTGAAAACTACCACTTCATGACATCATAAGGTGGAACAGAGCATTTTGAGCTTTGGAGATGACAGACAATAAATGGTTACTCAAACATGTGTGAATGAAACAAAACACAACTCTAGTCATGTTTTTGAGGAGGTAATGTGGTGGATCCCTCTGCCACCACTCCACAGTGTTAGTATTATTTCATTTCAGTTCTATTTACATAAAGTTCATTACAGCACAGATAATTTAATTTAATTCCTTTCTTTAGACTTATATTCTAATTTGGGTGCACATGTTTTATTTAATGTAAGTCTAAATTATTACTTACTTACTTGTTCTTTTTTGTTTGAGTGGCCAGACAGAGGACCCTTGGCAGAGACCATCCACACCCAACAAAGGGAGAGCACTATTTAGTGTGTTTTACCAAGTTTGTTTAAGGTTACTTTATTATCACTTATTATTTTCTGTATTATAATTATTTGCCTTCTTGTTACTTTGATTAAGTTAGTAGTTTTACTGTATTTTCCGGACTATAAGTTGCACTTTTTTTACATGGTTTGGGTGTTTCCTGCGACTTATACTCCGGTGCGACTTACACATTAAAATTTTCAGACTGACAGCCGCGAGGGGCTCTAGTCTTGTGTGCCAGTATCTAGTACTACTATTACTCCCGCACTACTGTCACTTCGCACTCTACTGCGCCTGCCACCTGTAGAAAAAGCCGCTGTCTTGCTGCAAATAGGAAAATATGCAACCGAAAACGGTAATCGAGCAGCAGAAAGAAAGTTTGGAGCGAGCAAGAAACTTGTGCGGGACTGACGGAAAGCAGGGACGGAGAGTACAGCTTCACGGCAACCGGGCGGGTATACCATGTAACTTTCCTGGAAGTCACTGGATGAATCGAAAAATCCTCAACTTCAATGACACCGAAACCATCCTGCCAGGTTTCAGAAAGGCTGGAATAATTCTAACTGGAACTGATGCTGAGTCTGATGACAGCTACACAGAAGAGGAAGCGGCGCTCTGTTTACATCATGGGTCTATGGTTTATCTCTGGAGGTTGCGCAGAAGTGACACCGAGGATGAAGAATTGAATGGATTTAGTGATTTGGAGTGAGCTCATGAGTTTGGTAAACTTATGTTATGGTGTTTATGCTATAATTATCTGAATAACTGTTCAAATGTTACATTAACATATTAACGCCTTTTCAGTCTGTTGTTCTCTCTTTTATTGTTACTACTATAACTTGCCTTTCAAGATGAAATGTTGGTTCCTGGTCTCTGATTTTATAAAATACATTTCCCCAAAAAGTGCGGAGCTACTTATAGGTTGGAAAATACGGTAGTTAATTATTTAGTGTAATTCCCCCTCTTGTGTTCAGTTTTAGCCCTGTTCTTTGTCTGTTTGGGTTAGTCTTGTTTTGCTCAGTTTGATTTACGTTACCCCTGTGGGGCCAAGAGTCAGTGTTGTGTAATATCGGACCTTTAATGTTCACTGTAATAGCACTGTTTCATGACTCTTGTTATTGCTTTTATTGATAATTACTTGTGATTATCTGTGCTTACCTGTTCAAATATCTCTGGGGTATATTTGGGAGGGAAAGAGGGAGGAGGAGGAGGAGAGGCACGCCCACTGTCGTGACACGCCGGGGGGATGCTGTTCATCATTTTCCCTGTGTTGTAGTTGCACTCCAGAGTGTAACTGTGCAGAACACATAGTTAGCAGTTAAACTTTAACCAGAACCTAATCACAAAATCTATCAGCATTGTTACTACACAATATCATAATAGTAATTCTTACATTTATAATAGAATTTTCAAATACAGCACGTTTTCATTTTTGATTTGAGAGGTAAAAATGATGGCAGAATCCAAACTCCAGGACATAATGCAGTTTCTTAATATCCAGATAGTAGTTAATATATGGAGTCTTTAGAGTTCATGTTATACATTTTTTTAAAGGTACAAAGCACTTTCCAGAGGGTACTTGGAATGGTAAATCATCACATTTATCATTATTATACAGCGTTTTTCCACCTTCACTCAAAGCTCTTTACATCAAGGAACCACTCACCCATTCACACACACATTCACACACCAGTGTACACAGACACTGGGGGCGAGGTGGGTTAAGTGTCTTGCTGAAGGACAAACAACAGCATTAATCTGTGAGAGCTGGAATCACACCGCCAACCTGTGGGTCAGTGGATCTCACCGCTCAACCAACGACGTTTATGTTTAGAGCAGGATTTGAACCACCAACCTTTGGATCAATGGACAAACATGCTACTAACTGAGTATATTTCTTAATTTTTATATATTGGAAAGTATAATTTGTTCAAGGGTATTATTAAAGCAGTTAAATATACATAGTAATAAATGAAGTAAGAACATTAATAACACTAAGAATCACCATTATATGATTAAGGGCACACTGAAAAAGCTTTGTAAAGCCCTGCTCACCTGTGCAGCAGCCCTATGGCCTTGTGCACAGCCACTCTCCCACTGCCCTCTTTGGACTGGCCGTCCCTCTTGTCTCGAGCGTACATGTTCTTCTCTGAGAAATTACAGCCCAGGAAGTCGAAGTGGGCGGAGTTCACAGCGATCAGTCTGGGGTACAGCATGTTCTCCACCTGCAACACACAGGTCAGTGTCGGTACAGAGACATAAGGAAATTTCAATCAATCAATTTTTATTTATAGAGCTTACAACACACAAGTCAGTGCAGAGGTGTGAGTAACATTGAGCTGCCTCTGCTGGCATTCAGAGCACTTGGCCTCATGACCCTGCCTACTATAGATGACCTGGTTTAGTCCGGGAATAGACCTGGTTTAGACCTGGTTTAGATCTGGTTTAGTGTTAGAATATACCTGGTTTAGACCTGGTTTGGACCTGGTTTAGACTGAGTTTTGATCTGGTTTAGACCTGGTATAGTCCTGGTTATGTCATGTTCAATGTATAAGGCCAAACACATCACATTTCTCCACATTTTATATCCACAATCATTAAGATTAACTAGATGAATTAATTGGACACCAAGCAAAGTTGGACACCAGGCAAATAACAGCTGAAATTGTACTGTATTGTATTTGTATTTGTATTTGTATTTGTATTTGAATTGTATCTGAAAAGAACTTAGGTTAGTGGGTGTTGGATTAAAGTCTTATTGAAGTCCCAGACTTAGTTCAAACTTACATCAGAACAAACCTGGGTTCATCCTAGTCAAGTCTTTGTGGACGTTAATCCTAAATTAGTTCCAGTTTAGTTTCCAGCTTATTAATGATTTAGACCCAGTTGAATTTTATTAGGCTATCACTTTGAAGTGTAACATTTCCAGTGGAGGGTCCGCTGCCTGCTTGTCTCCATGGAAATATTATTGCTTTGTCTAGAATGTTCTACAGTATAAACTTAACCTACCTATCAAGGAATGATTGTAATTTTGAGCATTAGAAACACCCTTAATTAGTAAATGCTAGATGTATATGTTTAATGTCATACCATGAAAGATTACAGGCAAAGCAAAGCATCTCCATGGAGACAAGCAAGTTTCACAGTGCACCTTTAAGACCCCAGTCTTTTAATATTTTTGCAAATGTTTGTCAGTAAACCAAATAAATGTTTTTTTTGTTTGTTTTTTTTGCGTGAGTTAATGTACCTGCTGGCTTTCATCCGGTAGGTTATTCCCGTACATGAAACAGCCACGTTTGGAGGCGTGGCCATGCAAATCCACATAATAAGCCACGCCCCCTTCTTGAGGTGGTATCGACTCCTGCTTTTCCTCATCTTGTTTTGGTTCTTCCTCTGGACTATTTGTAACATTAGTCTCTCCGGGATTTGAAACATTTTGGTCGATCTTTTCCAAGTCCGTAGTGTTCACAGTATTTTCCTCCATCGCCATGTTGATATCTGTCTGCGGAGGAGTTGCATCTTTCTCCGCATTTCGCTGGTTCATACTGATCTCCATGTAGGTGAGGGGAGGAGGGCTCTGATTGGCTGGCGTATTGTTGGGGGGTGGGGTTTGTGGACGTGTCGGGGTGTTGCGATTGGTCGCCTGTGCTTTCTGAACGCGGTTGTGTGTGTGATGGTACAGTAACAGTGACTTGGCTGCGTAAATGGAAGGATGAAGCTCCCAGCTGGGGTTTAGATACTGTCTGTTCAGGTTTACACCCCTGGAATCAGTCCTGCAAACAAATGAAAGACAACATTAATACAAGACATTTATAAGGACATACAAAAATAATGAATTTATTCAATCAGCATAGTCTAGTTACAGCCACACTAAATCAGATTAGGACTGAACAGGCTATCCTGTGGTTGGTGGGTGAACACTCAACCTACTTTCCTCCAGTGAACTAAAACAGAACAATCTTGTTGTTTTGAGAGCAGAATTTCAGGATTAAATAAATTGCAGTTGAGCTATATTACATTTGTTCCATACATTTGATTTTTGCTTCAAGATCCTTTATTATGCTTCTTTTATTATTAGTCTGTCTACATCTCCAAAGCTCAAAATATTCTGTTTCACCTTGTGATGTCATGAAGCAGTTTATTCCCAGTTAACAGATTCTTTTACTTTTTGTTCAGTAGAAATTGGCAACTCCAGGGCTGAACTGACCCAAATGATTCTGTTGAAGGTGTGTGCAGTTTAAAAACACAGTGAAGTACAACTTTGACGACGACATCAGAACTCAGTCTAAATATGCAAGGTTTGTGTGTGAAACAAGTGTGAATGAAACAAAACACAACTCCAGGTCTGGTTTTGATGAAGAAACAATATTATAACTGATGAGAATTTGAATTTACTTTTTTTGTCCATTTTTACATGTGAGATGTGGCTAGAGTGTTGGTGGTTTGCTGTGAGCTATGTCAAGAGACTTAACAGTGACTAATAAGCTACAGCATACACTGTCCATCTACAAATTGGCTTTGTGTAAAACGATCTCTTTGAACAGGATACTGTATGACACACACACACCGGTCAGCACATGGACTGTACACGAGCTGGAGAACAGAACTACAGAACAAGATAAATGATAAAAGATGTTGAAGGCTCTCATAAAGTCAGATACACTGAGGAATTATTTGGTTAACATAATAATACAGGTCATTTATAATCAGAAGGACTAAAAAATAATAACAAGAATTAGTTTGTGATGTTTGTGTGACATTACTAGACACCTTAGTAATGCAATTATAAGAACTGTTTCAAATACAAGAATAGCAAGCTCTGACAAATATTCATTTGACAATATGCTGCAATTAAAACTAAACATAAATAATTACAGTCTGTCACCGATATGTGGATACATGATGCGATAATCGATATATAGCACATGATACTTTTAGCAACATTTCTTTGTTTAATCACTACTTTGTTTAATCACTACTTGTGCAAAGTTGATATGAAGTACATCTATTTTAATAATCAAAACAGTGAATATATAAACAGTGAATACTAGTTTCCTTCCACTAAATGAGCACTAAATGAGCAACAAAACTGTAGTGTGATCACAGAAAAAAATGCTAAGAGAAAAAAAATACTCTTTCCGATATATCGATACAGCAGCCCACAGTAACAATACTGTGTCATCAAATTTTGTCATACAAAAGAGTGATGCATTGTGGTACCTGTAGTGCCCACGGATGACCCCGTCTGGGTTGAGCAGAGGGATGAGTTTAAACACAAACATGTTTCGGAGGACGTGGGCTCGAGGGTCGTCTCCTCAGGATGAAATTCAGAAATCCATTAAACACAAAAGAGGATGGGGTCTCTCCAGGGTGCACTCTGCTGCTGAGGAAAAACACCTGCACAAACACAGAGTGGGATGGTTTTGTTAAAATGTGGTGAAATTAAAAGTAAAAATGCATTGAGAAAAGTAAAGACTAAAGTGCTTTTGTTTTAGTACACCTCAGATTCTTACTATACCACCAGCGTTTAGCTCCAGTTAAATGAAGCTCACAAGGCTAGCAGTTGTAGGAGTGAATTTGGAGCAGTTCTATATTAGGACTAGGAATTGATTTACAGGCAAAATAGTGAAACAAAAACACTAGGATCATGTAGAGCGGGTTAATACAAACCAAAACGACAAGGCTCACGGCAGTTTGAATATCTGTAGTTCATTAAGTTAAAAAACTAAACTAGTATTAATCCTTCAGTTTAATATTCTAATGTTCTGAATGCAAGTCCATTTTCTTTTGCCTGAAACGTTCCATAAAATTTACTTTACTTTCTTTACTTTACTAATATTTTAAACTTTTTCATTAAAAATGCAGATATTAAACCTTCCACCAGAAACGTTGATGCACATAGTGATCCTTCAAAGGTCACTTTTCTGGTGGAGATTTTGTCACCAGTTTCTCTCCATGGAGATATTGCCTAGAATGTTCCACAGTATGTCTGATCTTTGGAGAGGCGAGCCCACTCACAGTCAGAATGCATGTTTTAGGTCAATAAAAAAAGTTATTGAGAAAATACAAGACGGATATGTTTAATCCCATACCAGGACATTCAAGACAAAACAATAACATATCTGTGACTTTCTACCAGAAAAGTTACACAGTGCACCTTTAAACATATTTAAAGATACTCCTTATGTAGTTTAGAGTATAAGGTAGGCTGCAGGTACCTTTTTGCCTGCAAATCGGTGTGCTCTGGGTGTATTTGTGTCTGGGAACAGATGGGGCAGGCGTGGCTCTCTCTCATCCATCATCCCAGTGCAGTTTGTCACAGTGAGCAGGTCCACTCTGTGCCCGTCCAGAGAGTGGCACAGCAGCTCACGGTGGTAGTACACACTGCCTGGGGGACTGCACACAACAACACAAGAGGTCAGAGGAAGAACTGGTGTATATGCTTTTATAACTCGACAGTGCTTCCATGCCGTGAACAAACAACTTGTGAAATTGATGTAAATTATGCAACCCACTTATATGGACTTCTATATAGAATTCTGGAATGGAGGCAAAGTGAAGCAGACATATAATATTTTCAATGAATAACTGATTTTAACAGATCAGAATGCAAATTATTTTATGATATTATAACAAAAAAGAGACTTTCCAATTTCCAATTTAGAATTTCCAAGCTACAAATATTAGTTAAGAATAGAAATAGAGAAGCCTTTGTTAAGAAGGACGGAAAAATAAAATGTTTTAACCTCAAAATATAATGATACAATTACATTAAAGTAATATAATTCCAATAAAACACATTTTAAATAGACAGTATAGTTTAAATAGCTGCAACAAATACATAGCAGAATGAAGCAATAATTAGCCATAGGACTGAAGAGTAATTATAGTGACAGGCCTACATACTAGGACCAAAGTCTTTTTCTTTCCCTTTCTTTCTACATGGGAGAGAGCGGATACATTTGACAAAAAATAAGTACAGAAAAGATAATAGAAAATCAGCAGCAACAAAACAATTACATAGTAGATCGTAACAGACAAATACAAATATAACACCCCTGAAGAGAGCTCAACCAAAATAGTGCTCCTCGTGTACCCTAACAATTATCCCCAATCTCATCCCTCCCACTCTCCCAGGACCCTTTGAACTTTATGCGAGTGTCTTTCCATATAAAAAAGTGTGAATACTGAAGCGGTACCTGCTTGGACTGAGCTGAGCAGCGTTGGGGTAACTGTGGTCAAGCTGCTGGAGCATGTCCTGGCATTCAGAGTAAGAGAACGGATAACAGAAAGAGAAGAAGGTCGTGGCTCCCTTCACCTCTAATATCCGATGAGTGAATGAGAGGATGAACTGGTTATCCACAATCTGTTAAAAAAGACAAACCAGAGAGTTAAATATTGTAAATAAAGTGACAGATTAGAGTGGAAATTTCAAAGTAATTGGTAATGGTTATTTAAAGTTTTGCTGAAAGGTCAAATATTTTACACTAAACTGACTCTTTTAAGTCATGTTAGAATGCTGCTACCTCCTCAAAAACAGACCTGGAGTTGTGTTTTGTTTCATTCACACAAGTTTGAGTAACCCTATTATAAGTCTGCCTACATCTCCAAAGCTCAAAATGCTGTGTTCCACCTTGTGATGTCATGATGAGGTAGTTTTCAAGGTAACAGCTTGCCTTTACATTCAGTTCAGCAGAGATTAGCAATTCCAAGGCTTATCCAAATGATTCTAGTGAAATTGTGTGGAGTTTAAAAACACACTGAAGCACTTCCTGTATTACCAGATGACATCACAAGGTGGAACAGTGTTTTCAGTTTGAGAGAACAACTGAGCCTAACTATGAAGGGTTTGTGTGTTAGACATGACATGTGTAAAATGAAAACTCCAGGTATGTTTTGATGAGAAAACATTACAACATAGATCTGAAAATAGTGCAATATAGGCCCATTAAACATTGTAAAATAAATTATATTTTCTCTAACCCAACATTTAAAATAAAAGTGGTGCTTTAAAATTTTGCTTAAATTCATTCCCCATTTTGATACATGTTGGTGACGACTGGTGATTTTATTTCCTGGTTGGCAGCAGAGGTGACTTAAGTAAAGGTAATTTCATACCTGTTACTAAGCAACCATACTGTAAACATGGACCACAACTGTTTTTTCCCCCCAACTTATCTTTACATACTCAAATTTGACACAATAAATCTATGAGAAATATTTACTACAGTCACAATATGTAATAATTAAGAAAGTAATAATTTAAATATAACATGAAAACCTATGCACAGATTTAAAAGTAGACCCACACCTCAGTAGCGGGCCTGTCTCGTATCCTCTCCCAGCGCGTCTTTCCAGGCACAGTGCGTACAAACGGAGCCATGCCCTGACTGTAGAGCTTCCTCTGGTTGTTCATGTTCATCACATTGATCTTCAGTAACTTTCCAGATGATACTCCACGCACACTGAAATAAAACCATGACCTGAAACACACAAGAGAGAGATGTTTTATTATTGGGATGATAAAACCTGGATTTTATGTTTATTACAGTGCAATATAAGCATGTGCAATGAAACAGTTATAATAATAGGTATCATTATAGCATAGTAATAGGAGGGGTATTTTTAAGGTTTTAAGGTTTAAGTGTTTTACAAAATTTACACGCTCACACACCAATGTACACAGACACTGGGGGCAAAATTTCTTGCCCACGGGAAAAACAGTATTCATCTGTGGGAGCTGGAATTGCACCATCTAACCACTAAACCAATGAGCGGGATTCGAACCACCAACTTTCAGATCAGTGGACAAACACTGCCACCTGAGCTACCCATGATTTAATTTATACTGTATTTCTGATTTTGTGTTTTCAGTGTTTTTTGACTAAACAATTGCATCAGGGGTATTATCACTTACCACATAGCTGGGAATATTTTATGAAAAGTCAATGGGAAAAATTTATGGGAAATTTCTTTCTGAAACCTTGGTTGGTTTTGAAGTGTACAATAGGTTTGGGCAGTAATACGGTATTACAGTATCCCGCAGTATCAAAAAGTAGCAACAGTATTAGTTTCATTACCATCATTTAAAAAATTTGCAGCGCATAAGGACCTAATATAATATTATAATTCATTGACACCTAAATGTGTTAGCACAGCACAAATGAATGTGTGGTTGTATTAACAATTTAATGTTAATCACAATTTAAAACTAATAGCATCTATAATGTTTCTTTTAACTGCGTGGGGAGATGACATTGTATTAGTTTCATTCCGTTGTCACATCACAAAAAGTACTAGTACTTCTACAATTTGGCAGCATTTTGGAATCAAGCGTACATTTGTTTACGTTTTACAGAAATTAAACTTAAAACCGCATGGCTCATTTGCATAAACTATAAAGGGCTGATATGTGTTCTTTCTGCAACAGAGTCTGTTCTGTGTTTCTATCACATTAGAAAGAGATGGTTCATGTGAAACCTTTCAGTGACTATATGTCTGCAGGTTATATGCATAGACTGTACAGCGGTGCGGCTTCGTAGCTTAACATTTTGGTAACACGTATACCCCAGCAAAATCCTGAGAAGGATTAACGCCATCAAAATTTAGATACTGCCCAGCCCTAGTGTACTGGACAACTGAGCTCTATGTCCCACAATATTAACTGATAAAACTTTAGTGCTCCTTGTTTTAACCACATATTACTTCTTGTAATGCTTCTTGACCTGTTTCCATTCTCGTGCTCCGTGCCGGCACAGTCTGGCTGTGTCCACACGTTGAACTCGTAATCGGGGGCGGGGCTTGGTCCTGACACTGCGCTCCCATTGGACGAGGAGTCTGAGGGGGGACTGGGGCTGCTCTTGTCCACCTTCTCCACACGCCCTAGGTTCCCCGAGTCAAACTTCGAACTAAATACGATACTCCCAAAACGAGTCTCCATGGCAATGCCCACTCTTCTGTCTTTTTACAGCAGATCCTTTGTGGAACAGGATGATCTTACAGGGAATCCTAATACTGTGGAAAAGATGAAAAAATATTAATAAAACTTCTTAACAGAACACCATTTATTTTGTATTTACAGTATTTGCATAAATGTCTGTAATCTCTAGGTGCTTTTAAATACATTAGAAGTTTTTTTTTCGATTGTCAGTCAACACAATTCACAAACTTTGCTTCTTTGATATTGTGCAACATAGAATAACAGTCAAATATAAACTATGATAAAATACATGAATGCAGAATAATAATATATAATACATAAAGTAAGAGTGATTTCTATTGGACGCATTACAGAGGTTATGGTTAGTTTGAAATTTGAATTCATCAATATTTTTTCACTCCGTTCATAAACTACTCATTTTTTCCAGCATAAATATGTTCTTGCATGGTCAAAGTCTGTTATATGTTCCTTTAAGCCGTGTTAGAATGCTGTTACCTCCTCAAAAATAGACATACTGAGTTGTGTTTTATCTCATACACATTTACGTAATCTTTTTATATTAGTCTCCATAGCTCAAAATGCTCAATTCCACTTTGTGATGTCATGAAGGGTTATTTTAATTAAATAACAGCTACCTTTTAAATTTAATTCAGTAGAGATTAGAAATTCCAGGGCTGAAATTACCCAAATAATTCTAATAAAGGTCTATGGAGTTTAAAAACACAATGGAGCACTGCCTGTATTACCACATGACATCACAAGTTGGAACAGGTGGAGTGTTTTCAGTCTGAGAGAAGAACTCAGTCTAAATCTGCAGGGTTTGTGTGTTAATCGTGTGAGTGAAACAAAACACAACTCCAGGTCTGTTTGTGATGAGGAAACTACATAGAACACAGATCAGAAAATAGCGTCATATGTGCCCTTTAAGTAAAAAGTAATAGTCTCTGATATATGTATATTTGTAACAATGCTGAATCAAATCCATTTAAAGCTAAAAAAAAAAAAAAACTACAGTAAATGTATGTGTATGACAGCGCCATGCCGTGGCAGTTGAACAGAATACATAAACGGTACACATTAAAAGAAAGATGTATACTTTGAGACGTTTAGCGAACTAACTCTGTGTTTGATCAGAGTTAGCTAGTGGATAATGGTAATATTAGGCTGTTATAACATTATTAGCTTTACACAGATTTTAGGCTCTGTACGAGGGCAAAGGTCTGCGTGGTATAACATGGCAACAACAACAACAGCTGATCGGCGTACAGCCATGTCTGCCCTGCTCCAAAAACACATCATATCTGCAACGATTTATTAAAATAAAGTCTCTTTTACCCATTATCAAACTGTAATACCCAGATAGTACCGCGGTGTTTCCGTTTCAGCCGTTAGCCCGTGCCTTTTTAAGCTACAGAGGCTACCTTAGCTTCCGAGGCTAGCACTCATCTTTTCGCCACAAACCTCGCGCAAATCCAACGCCCCTACGATGTTTAAACAGCATTTGTGATTTTGCAACAATTTCACGACTAAAACCGCGAATTGAAATAGTATGCATACGTTTCTTACGCTGTTATTTCTGCAGGAGGTCCATATTTCTGTGCACGGAGCGTCTCTCCTCTCGGTTCATTCAGTGTCTGTCTCCTGTAAAACGAGAATGGATTGTTCTGGTCAGAGTTACGTCCACTACGCACGTTTTAGGAGGGCTTTTACGAATTACACTCTAATGAATGCATAATCCAGCATAAAATACAAAATACAAAATTCATACACATACAAAAACAAAATAATACCTACAAAATCATGTATACCCTGATTATTAGCCCAATAACAGTCTCATTCATTATAATTACCATTACTTCACATTGTTGGTGTCCTTAATTTTCTTACCATTGTTGAGATCCTTTTGTATTATTGCAAATGATGATAGTTATGTTACCAAGTTGTAACAGTGACTCTTTGTCCTCACTTCAAATAGTTTATATGGTCTAATGTAAATGTCTGAAGAATGCAAAAGAAAGCTCATTATGTTAAATTATAAGAGGGGGTGGGAATAAATACATTTACTTCTTCTTACGCCTTTTTGGGTACATTTTTGTGTTGTTATTTCTGTTATGATTGCACTAATGCCACATGGATAATACTCCTACTTCCATTGTAAAAGAAGGTAAATTGCTTACTTGAACAAAAATAAATGCATAAATAAAATAAACATGCAAAATATTACATTACAGTAGGATACAATTTTAGGCCTCAATTTAGGATAGATGACAACTGATAATTTAGCTAATAAAGCTTGACATGGTAACTAAATTAAAGGTGCACTGTGTAACTTTTTTGGAGTGGGGTCCATCATCTGCTTGCTTCCATGGAGATGGCCATCTTTAACTCAAATGCAGTGGTATGACATTAAATATATCCTTCTTCTGTAATCTCATTCAGGACCAGTGGGCTTATAACAAGAATCTTGCAATTATCACATTTATTAGAGTTTGAATATCTTTTGGTGGCCTCTGGTGGTAGAAATGCAAAACTAGATCATGTATGCAAATACATTTATTATCTTGACCCGAATTTAAAAATAAATAAAATAAAAATAGAACTGGAATAATTAAAGTCAAGTTAAATAGTTAGAATAAGGGGCTATTCAAAAACAACATACAAAAGTAAACACTGATTATGCTGTTAGCTGCTTAATGTCTTGCTTAATGCTTGTTTAGGTCAAGTTTAGGTTGCAGTACTTGACACGTCTTACTATCGGATAGAAAGTTTTAATTTTCAGCCACACAGTAATATTTAACTAGCAAAGATCACGTCACAACAATGGAATATGATCAAGATATTTATTGACAATGGATAGATGTGATGGCTGGGATGGGGGCTCTGTGTCAGGTGGTCAGCCCAGATGATTCAGGACAACCTCCTTTGTAGACGTTAAGATCTTCAGGTTGAAGGATGAACAAGAGACACAGAGTGAGAGGGAAGGGGTTGAGAGAGTGGAGACAGACGGTGTTGTCGGGATAGGCCTGGATAAATTAGGGCTCTTGGGTAACTGAAGGTGTGGTTGAGCTCATCTGTGGTCCGCTGGAGAGGAGCAGGGGGAGGCTGAGGCGTGGCCCTACTCCTGAATTTTGGAAAACGAGAGAACAGAAGAAAATTAACTACTTAATTAAATTTTGTTTTCCACCACGAATGCACTTAAAAATTAGTTGTGTGTAGAACAGTGCATTACTCACGTTTGGGTTTCCTGTGGTTCACTGTGTTGTGTGGCAATACGGTGTTGGTAAAGGATGTCATGTGCCGTTCGGACAGGGCACAACCTGTGTGAAAGCTGCTGCTCAGCAGAAGTGTGGGAAGGAGATTGAAACTCTGAGTTTACCAGTGCTGAATCGCACACAAGACGGACGCACCAATAAAGCAAGAATGATACTGACTCGTTTGGCAGTGGCTAAGGCCACCGGCCTTCCATTTCTGTCGCTGGATATAAGACACATGGATATAAGCCTCCTCCTCCACTCTTCTCCATAGTTCTATCTCATTGGAAGAAAAACACACAAATAAATGTACTATACTTCAGTACTTTATACAATAAATATATAAAAAACTTACCTGTTGTGAGTTAGTCACACAGCAGTCCCACCTCAGGACCTCAGCCTCCCTCCTGACCCAGTCTGGACCTTGTGCAAAAAACACAAATATTCAATACACTTGGAGGAGGGACAAATACAAAATAATCTCAAGTGTACCTGTATTTGTATGACAACATGGATGTAAGCTTCCTCCTCCACTCCTCTCCAGAGCACCCACTGTAAAGTTCATCTCACTGTAAGAAAAAAAGACAAGTACTTCAATAATTCAATAGAACAGAAAACTTACCTGTACTGTATATTCTTTGCTTTTGTTACTTTCAATGTTTTCCCCTCCTCCTCTCTTTCTGGAGGATCACATCTGGTTGGTGCTGGAAGCTCAAAAGAAAAGAAAAGAAAAAGTATTACATTTATCTGCAAAGTAATGTGGTAATAATGAGTCAATACTCACCATTTTGTGCAGTACATGTAACAAGGTGAAAATGCACCAGCAGTGATTTTATTTGAACAATTATTGCACGTTTTATTTGCTTTTATTTTTTAAATTGGTTGTGCGCATGTGTGTGCTTTGTGGGTTTTACTTCCTGTTTTGATGGACCTAACTGATTAATAAACCACACATGGTTTTGGCACATTGCTGCACAGGGCGCTTTAAGAACAGAAATATGTAGGCTGACATCAGGTTCACCACTGAGTTCCCAAAGTCCACCCCGAGGTCCAACTCAAGAGACAATGAACCATGGCCTGTATGCTCCATACTTCTCCATGATGACCTCTGTGCTGTCCACCAACCTGTAGCAAAGGCCTCTGATGTCCCCTGTATCCCCGAGCAACAGCCTCTGGAGCACCAGTGAGCCATGTTTAGATGGCTGAGTAATCTGAATGTGACAGCTAAGAGTTTTCCATCCATCCATCCATTTTCGTCCGCTTATCCGGGGCCGGGTCGCGGGGGCAGCAGCCTAAGCAGACTTCCTTCACCCCAGACACGTCCTCCAGGTCCTCCGGGGGGACCCCAAGGCGTTCCCAGGCCAGCCGAGAGACATAGTCCCTCCAGCGTGTCCTGGGTCTTCCTCGGGGCCTCCTCCCGGAGGGACATGCCTGGAACACCTCCCTCGGGAGGCGCCCAGGAGCTAAGAGTTTTTCATTTCATTTTCCCATACACTTGTCCTAAAAACCAACATGTACTGCACAGCAGTTTGATCACTAGTTTAGTCATACTTTGGAGATGGACCTTTGGTAGTTGGTCACAATCTGTGTATTGCGAGTGTCTTTAGTCTCTCAATAAACAGAAGCAATCCCATACAAACTAACCAAACACTGATTTGTGGCTTCCTGTGCAATATGAGGATTAATTAGGAAAAAAGTGTCTGCAGAGCTTACAGCCATCCGGCTACAGCGCCAGGGTTGCTCCACAGGCTATCGCTCAGAGAAACAGGAGAAGTCAAAGGTGTTTCCTGCAGGTTGGTGGACAGCACACAGGTCGTCATGGTTAATATGGATCACACAGGCCATGGTGCTTTGATTCTTAAACCTCATCCTCCGCTCCTCCTACAATAACTTCAACAATACAATATTGTAAATTTACATAAAAACTTACCTGTACTATTTGTTCTTTGTTTCTCTGTTTTCCCCGTCTCCTCTCTTTCGGCAGGATCATATCTGCCTGGTGTTGGAAGCCCAAAAGAAAATAAATAAGTATGATTTGTCTGGAAAGTAATGTGGTAATAATGAATCAATACTAACCATTTTGTCCAATATATTTGTAATATATTCCTGTGTTTAAATCCCAAACAGGAAAAATGTGTGTTGTCATTCAAAGCTATAGGAAAGTCTATGCTCACTAAGTTTAATACATTAAAATTAGGGAGCAGACTTTCTTATATTCAATGAGGATTCAATGGCAAAATCTAAGTATAACCACACACATCAAATAATATACAGGGATACAAGGGATATCAGAGGTGTTTCCTGCAGATTGGTGGACAGTACACAGGTCGTCATGGAGAATATAGAGCACACAGGCCATGGTGCTTTGTCTCTTGGGCTGGACACACAACAGTCCCACTTCAGGACCTCAGCAGCTCTCCTGACCCAGCCTGGACCTCAGGCGGACTCTGGGAAAATGAAAAAATGTTTTAAAAAATCACAAACATAAAATATGCTTGGAGGAGGGACAAATGCAATTCATAGTTGTCTCCAATGTACCTGTATTTTGTATAACATGGATAGAAGGCTCCTCCACTCCTCCTCTCCACAGTTCTATCTCAGTGTAAGAAAAACACACAAATAAATATACTCTACTTCAATACTTTATACAAAAAATATGAAAAACTTACCTGTTGTGAGTTAGTCACACAGCAGTCCCATGTCAGGACCTCTGTCTTCTTCCTGTCCCAGCCTGGACCTTGTGCAAAAAAACACAAATATTGAGTACACTTGGAGGAGGGACAAATACAAGTAATCTTAAGTGTACCTGTATTTTGTATGACAAACAAGGATTGAAGCCTCCTCCTCCACTCCTCCTCTCTACAACCCCAGTCTAAATTTTCATCTCACTGTAAGAAAAACAAACAAATAAATGTTCTGTACTTCAACAATTCAACACTGTAAATTTATATAAAACTTACCAATATTGTAAATTCTTGTGTGTTGTCATTCAAAGCTCAGAGTATGGACTTTCTGATATTCAACACTGATTAAATGGCAAAAAAGTATAACCACACACATTGAATGGTATACGAAGATACAGGGGACATCAGAGTATAACATGGACAGCCTCTCCACAGCCCCCAGTTTAAAGTTCCATATCACTGTAAGAAAAACACACAAATAAATGTTCTGTACTTGTTAAAAGTCCCAGTGGCTAAATTACACCACCTGGATCTCACTACTCCTTTTCTAATCACTGTATTAACCCTCAGAAAATCACTCAGCTTTAAAGACACAATGCAAATAAGTTTGACTACACTCAAAAAGATCACATAGCTTTAAAACCACAATGCATGTTCAAAAATATCATTTACTACACTCAAAAATATCATTTCTTCAATAACACAAGGTAAATATCTTACTACACTCAAAAAGATCATTTCTTCAATAACACAAGGTAAATATCTTACTACACTCAAAAATTATCGTTTAACTTCGATAACACAAGGTAAATATTTGACTACACTCAAAAAGATCACTTAACTTTAAGAAACACCATACAGGTAACTTTAACAACTCTTAAAGTATCACCTGGGGAACACTTACAACTTCACTTAGCTTTAGAAACCACTCTATGAAATGCTCTACACTCTATCTGACAACATTTGCCCAAAACACATTTTTGACAGTGCCTCAAAGAATTTAACCAGATTTAGTTTTATACCAAAACATTGCAAATATTAATTTATCCTTAGCAGTGCCTCAAAACCTTTAACCAAATTTAGCTTTGCATCAAAAACATTGCATTTTTGTAAGTAACTCACCTAGGATGACTTGACTTGCTCGTAGTAAATATATATATATATATATATAATAATTGAGGGAAAGACTCAACAAAAGATTCCAACAAGTGATTTGTCTTTGTCTTATTTTATCTGCTTTTTATTGTATTTTTACCAGAAAGCTCATACAAAAATAATTAGGACAAATCACCTTGCAAGTACCCTTTTGGAGAAATTACCCTGTGACCAGGAAAGCTATAAAGCACAGCCTAGTCCGAATTTGAGATCTGACCTCCTTAGCCGAGTTACAGCCGGAGGGCCAATGCCAACCAAAAATCAGGATCTGAATTATTATGCGGAATTTTCAATATTTATCTAGGGTCACAGAACTCCACCCAGGTACATGCAAAGTGATCAGTACGTCACAGATAGCACACATTTTTTCAAGTACAGGCAACACTTTCTTAGAAACCACAATCTTCACCATTCTAGCCCCCTACGCCTCTGCCCCAGCCAGGTGTGAAGTAAAGGCCACCTCGCTTCGTCGAAGGAGCAGGAAGCTTCGCATCCGCATTGCATACAGGCCTCCCACACGCCGCATAACATATAGGTTTCGTACATCAATGTCAAATAAAGGTCAACTGTCAAAAGAACAGAAGGTCCTTATCTTTCCTGCACACAAACATAACGGTTACAGAAATTATTGCAAAATAACCTAAACTTAAAAATTAAATTGAAAGAATTAAGCAAATCAATATAAAGGAAACAAATCAGATTAAATCAAAGCAAAACAAGTAACTCATGGTAATATGGGTCACAAAAGCACTTCTAATATCTAAATCAAACACTCTTAATCTCTAATGCTCTAACAGTTATTCAATTATCAAAATAAAGCATCATGAACATCTTCATCTGAATTCAGGAGCCCTTTTAGTGGGGCTTACGCCAAAACCTTCATCTTTTTACCCCACCCAAGTGAGCTCTCCTGTGGCCGAGGGGGGGTTCACGACAGTACTTCAACAATTCAATACTGTCAATTTAAATGAAACTTACCAATATTGTATATTCTTTGCTGTCTTTGGTTTCTCCTCCTCCTCTATTTCTGCAGGATCACATTTGCTTGGTGTTAGAACCTCAAAAAAAAAAAGAAATACCGTAAGTATTATTTGTCTGTAAAGTAATGTCGTAATAATCAATACTCACCATTTTGTCCAATATATTTGTCATATATTCCTGTATTAAAATCCCAAACAACAGGAAAAATGTGTGTTGTCATTCAAAGCTATAGGAAAGTCTACGCTCACTAAGTTTAATAAGTTAAAGTTAGTGAGTGTAGACTTTCCTAAACACACACATTGAATAGTATACAGGGATACAGGGGATATCAGAGGTGTTTCCTGCAGGTTGGTGGACAGTACACAGGTCGTCAAAGAGAATATGGAGCACACAGGCCATGGTGCTTTGATTCTTCAGTTGGACACATGACAGTCCCATTTCAAGACCTCAGCAGTCCTTCTGACCCAGCCTGGACTTCGGGCAAAGTCTAGGAAAACAAAAAACAAAAACACAAATATACAATACGCTTGGAGGAGGGACAAATGCAATTCATTATTGTCTCCAATGTACCTGTATTTTGTAGAACATGGATATAAAAATCGTCCTCCACTTTTCCTCTCCACAGCCACCAGTTTAAAGTTCCATCTCACTGTAAGAAAAACAAACAAATAAATGTTCTGTACTTCAACAATTCAATACTGTCAATTTATATGAAACTTACCAATATTGTATATTCTTTGTTGTCTTTGGTTTCTCCTCCTCCTCTATTTCTGCAGGATCACATTTGCTTGGTGTTAGAAGCTCAAAAAAAAAAGAAATACCGTAAGTATTATTTGTCTGTAAAGTAATGTCGTAATAATGAATCAATACTCACCATTTTGTCCAATATATTTGTCATATATTCCTGTATTAAAATCCCAAACAACAGGAAAAATGTGTGTTGTCATTCAAAGCTATAGGAAAGTCTACGCTCACTAAGTTTTATACGTTAAAATTAGTGAGTGTAGACTTTCCTAAACACACACATTGAATAGTAATAATAATAATAGTAGTTTTCAGAAATTAGTTTCTCTTTTTCTTTCTTTTTAATGGATGACCACATTGTTAGTTTATCTCACAAAACTGCTTTAGCCGCATCCCATAATACACTGGGTGAAATATCTTCATTGTCATTGTGATAAATATAATCTGTAAATTCCTCCTCTGTATATTTTTTAAAGTTAGCGTCATTGAGGAGACTGGTATTAAGTCTCCAAAGTGTTTCTTTTCGCTTAGTGTCCAAATGTAGCGTCAAGTAAACCCCAGCATGATCTGAAACATCTCTGACTCCTATCTCACAATTAATAATCCTGTGTCTATCCGAGTTAAGCATGAAAAAATTATCTAATCTAGATAACATAGAGTGGGAATGGGAAAAAAAGGTAAAACTTTTTGTTCCTGGATGTAAATCTCGCCATACGTCCTTCATAACTAATTCTCTAAGTAATTTGTTGATTTGTAATGCTACGGGCTGCTCTTTTTAAAAGTAGAGGAATCTAAAGATGGATGTAAGTGAGTGTTCCAATCTCCACCACATATAAGTACTCCAGACACTTCAGTGCAGATTAAGTCAAAGATTTTCTTAATAAAATGTTTGTCGTTTCCTGGAGGTTGATAAACATTCAATAAAGTAACTTCTTTGTGATCAATAAATCCTTTTACTAATACAAATCGTCCTTCAATATCAGTAGTTTGGGAAGAAAGTTTACATTGTCTGAAATAAGAATCGCTACTCCTCTGGCATTTTCCTTTGTAAAAGAAGAATAATATGTATGTTTGAACCATCTTTTTAGCTTTTCATACTCCACATGGGGAAAATGAGTTTCTTGCCAAAATATTATGTCTTGCTTTTCACGTTTCATCTTACTTATTATTTTTCTACGTTTTATGGGATTATGTAAACCATTCACATTAAGCGTTATGAAATTATATTTTTGCCTATTCATTTATCTTTTTAAATCAAGCCAATCAAAGTAGCAGAGATGGCCAAAAGAAATAAGAAAACAAACAAGAACATGTCGGTCTGGAAGAACAGTGAGAACAGGGAAAACAGTCCCAAACAAAAGTGACTTCCACATGTGAAGTGCCATATGCACTTCTGAGTTGAGAGGGGAGTCCCATAAAAACAAGGGGGGCCCTCACAGTGCGGGCCGCGAATTCTGACTAATTCTATCAGCGCAACTCGCATCGGAGAAAAACAAATAGTCGCTTCCCAGCGTGAGGGTCATTAAATATTACCTTTATAGTTGAGGTAAACGGCATGGTGATGAAATTCTTATGGAGATGGCAGAAAGGCTCTTAGGAAGTGCCACCGTCTCGTCGAAATTCTTTTAACCTTTCCTGAATGCTTTTAATCCTCGTCTCATGTTGACGTCGCGATGCGCCAGCGTTTTGCCACGGTGGTTTGGTCATCTTTGCGCCAGTGGGTCTCCTTGGCGTTGTCGCGTGGATCGCGATGTCTCCTATCATTCCTTTTTTCTTCAGGTCTTCTGCAGCATCCCCCGCGCTGTTGTAGACCACTGGACCGGTTTGGAGGTGAACACGGAGCCGTGCCGGGTGCAGCGTCTGAAAACACAAACTTTTTTCCTTTAGCTCTCTTCTGATGGGGGCATATGCTTTTCTCTTTGCCAGAGTATCGCTAGTGTAATCGTGCTCAAAGAAAACCCGTCTTTCTCTGAACTGAATGACTTTTTTGTTTCATGCAGATCTAAGCACAAGTTCTTTGGTTCTGAACTAGAGAAAGCACAACACTTTGGATCGAGGATTGGCTTCTCCAGGAGGCTGGGCGGTAGCAGAGCGATTGCATCGCTGTATCCCTGAAGCGGTGTCGGAAAGTGATAACTCTGTTTTGATGAAGTTCTCAATTAATCCTATCATATCGTTCCCTTCTGCTCCCTCTTGTATGCCGTGGATTCTTATGTTGTTACGACGGGAGCGCGCTTCTAAATCTACAAGCCCCGTTTGGAGCTGCTCCTGTAGTTCAAGTGTGTAGGATAACGCGTCTCTCATGTCCGCGCTGAATTCCTCCATCTCTGAGACTCGTTGTTCCGCTTCTCCCATTCTGTCGTTCATTTGGTTTACGTTCGTTTCCACGGCACTAAGTCGAGAGTTCATCTCTCCTCTGAAGTCAGAGAGGTCTTTTTTAAGTTGTCCAGTTTTATCGTTGACCTCCTGGACATCCGACCGTACTTTCTGTATTTCAGCGATTATACTGACTCTGATAGCTTCCATGCTATCGTCGCTGGCTAGCTTGTTGGTGACTTGTTGGCTATGTTCCGTTAGCTTGCTGCTATCGCCTGCGTCGCCGTCACTTTCATTCGGTGATAAGGACTCTTCTTCCATATAAACTTGTGCGTTTCCTCTTGTCTTTCTTTTACTTCCCCCTGGCATACTTGTTAAACGTCTTTCTAATAGCTAAATAATCGAAGAAGCATTGGGGAAAGTTAGACCCGCTGGGAGGTGTTAAATTAAGCTGCTGCTAGTCTCTCCGCCATACCGGAAGTATGTCAATAACTCTTAATACTTTGTGTCCTTAAGTCTCTGTGTTTTCAGCAAGTACTTTAAAACAAGGTTTAACTTGCGTGGGCGGAAAGACTGGTTTAGCCAAGTGTGGATGGCTTCCACCATCCCTTACCCTGCTCAGCGGGATGGCACGAGTTGTGGGGTATTTGTGATGGAGGTGAGGCATTTTCTAATATTGTTTTCTGTACTATTTGGCTGCCCACTTCTTAAATACATTAAGTGCCCATTAACTTTATGTTGTTAGCTGTCGTCAAACTCTCACATGCCACCCACAAATCCCAGAGGAGTTCAAGATCAATCTTTCTCGAAGAGCCATCGCACAACTCAAGGAGCAGATGGCGGAGGAGATACTTGAGCAGTAATGTGAAGGTAATGTGAAGATTTAACTTATGAAAAACACTACCATGGAATAAGAGGTACATGTTATGTTGCTTTCATTTTGTTTTTTAGTTTCCAAGGAGGACTTCTGTTCCTTTTGTGGACAGAGGACATTACTGCAGCCTCAGGCAGAAGAAATTCTTTGGGTAAGTACTACACAGAATACTTTCATATCAAGTTATGTGAACAGCATTTCTGTGAAAATCTCATGTCATTCATGTACAGATCCAGTGTGAAATGTGTGAGAGATGGTTTCACACAGCCTGTTTGTTCATGGACACAGAGGACATTTCTCGCATCTCTGTATGGATGTGTGAACTCTGCATATGAAGAAAAGGACAAATATGCTGTTGCTGTCCTTACTGCTGCAGGAGGGGAAACACTGATGCCTGGGAGGACAACATGGCTTTTCTTTAGGAGGATCCGTCACCTACCTGTGTCTAGGCCTGCCATGATTACAATATTGACTTATCGTACAATATATAAAAGCTAGAATAATATATTTTGGATTTCAGTATTATCGTGAGTACTTTTTCTTTTGGCTAGTGAGCAGAGTTCTTTTTTCCATTTTTTAATATAATCTGATAAAATTTTAGCTGCTGAGAGTAGAATAAATAACTATGCTATGGATAATTATACTTCCATTCTGACTTTTATTTGATAATTCTTTGTAGTGGCATAAAGTAGTTTCAATAATATAATTTATTACAATAATTCTCTGTGTCCATAATAGAGTTGTGATTTATTTGTTAGTAATGTTCCACAAGTTGGATTTGTGGTAAGGAGGAGAAGCCAAATTATTTACAATATATTTTTGACTCTGATTGAATAAATACAAGTGTGGTGGAACACTCCAGAAATAAGAAATAACGTGTACGGAGATTAGCAAGTGGTGGACTCTCCACCAGAAAAGTTGCTTAGTGCATCTTTAAATCTATACTTAGGTTTCCATTGCATTTACTGGAATGATAAGGTGCTGTAATGGGATGAACCAACCTCAATTTCAGAGTA